ACAAGTACTTGCTCTCTCTTGGTCTTCATCCACACAATGACCTCTCTAGATCATGTGAGGACCCACAGGAAAGGCCTCCCACATTCCATGTAACCACCCACTGCTACCATCACAGAATTCTACCCACAAAGCAACTTACACACCACCTCACGTTTCTCAGTCCTGTGGTCGGAATGCGGTGTTCCCCAAAGGGCATATGCTGAAATCTAGGTGGGGCCTTGGGGAGGTGGCATAAGGGTAGACTCTTGGAGAATGGGATTCATGCCCTGATAGGAGAGGCTCAGGCCAAACGTGAGGAGGCAGTGAGAAGGCACCATATTAGAAGCAGGAAGCCCACACAGGACACTGAATCTTCTGACATATTGCCCTGAGATTTCCAGCTTCCAGAGCTGTGAGAAGCACATCTGGTCTTTGTAAACAACCCATTCTCAGGTGTTAAAGCAGCAGAACAATTGGAGGTGCTCGGTGTCTGGGCCTTCATGCATGCCAACCCCATTTCCACCTTAAGTGCATATCAGTCTGAGGAACATGGGAAGTGGGGGCCAGAAGAACGCCAGGCTCTCAGGCCAAACTCATTGACTGCTGGGAGGCTGAATGTGTGGGCCCAACCTTCTTATTTTTCTGTGCTGTGTACCTCCAAAGTCCTCACAAGACCCAAAGCTCTGCCTGACAGCATACGAGAAAGCATTACTGGAGTTCCAATGCCTCTGGTCTTCTGGGCTCAGGTGAGCGCTCCTGGCTGGCCATGCTGCACTCCTCCACACCATCTTACAGAACGTGTAAGCCATCTCTGTACACATGACACTCAGCTCCACATCCACCACTCCACGTTCAACTTTCCTCCAGAGCAGAAACCATATCTAATTTGGTTTCTAATCTATGCAGTCAGCAAAATTCTTGTACATTCATCCCCAGTGCTCTTGGGAATAAAGGACTTGCATGATATTAGGTACGAGTGAAAATTGAGAGTTTTCTTTTTCTTTCTTGTTTTCTTTTTGGCAGTACTAGGGATTGAACTCAGGGCCTCGCTCTTGCTAGATAGGTGCTATACCACTTGAGCTACTCTGCCAGTACGTTTGACATTGGTTGTTTTTGAGATAAGGTCTTGCCATAAGCCTGTGCCAGACTGGACCCTACTTGTGTTCTCCTGCATACTTGGAGACGATGGGAGCACGTCACTAGATGTGACCATTGGTTGGGATGGGGTCTTAAGAACTTTTTTGCCCCAGCTGACCTTGAACTGCAATTCTGCTAAGTAGACAGGATTACAAGGGTGAGCCACCATGTCCAGCTGAAAACTAAGAGATTTTTAAGGCAAAATTCAGCAGCTTTCATAAATCTGAATTTGGAAATAAGAATAGCTTCCACTAGATGAACTTAGTACTTGCTCAAGAGACTTACATGCATTAGTTCGTTAACAGAGAAAAGCATTATATACAAAAGGCCAAGCCCTCTTTGGCTATGAAATGGAAACCAAGGGGAAACGAGACCAAAAAATGACAAGATGGCATAATTAGCCATCTTGTGGTGTAATTAGCCTCACACCACTTCCCAAAGTAAAGATGGTGCAGCAACTAGCATCACACCACTTCCCAATATCAAGTAGAATCTCTTTAAAACATGAGAAAAACTAGTTGGCTAAGTTTCGGAATGGTCTTTATCACACTGTAAAGCTAAGGTTTCACTTTTTAGGTTACAAGTAAAAAAGCATTTTAAGATTTCAAAATTATCTATTGCATTTGCAACCTAAACATCTGCAACAACTTAAAACAAATTTGGGGACAAATTTTTAAAAAAAGAAAAGGAAAGAACAGAGTGAACACTAATCTGCCAAGCTTCAATCTAGACCAATTTTTTTATGGGTATGCTTTAAGCCTAGGGAAAAAAAAAAAAACAAAGAATACAACAAATAAAAGAAGTAGTAATGGAGATTTATAATGGAAATACTGACAGAGCATTTTCCCAATGGAAATTTTTTAAGAAACAATTTCAAATTGACTTTGAAATGACAACCTTTAACAAAAGACATGTACAACAAATTCAAAGACATTTTTCTAATAATTTACAATGCATCAGAGACCAGAAGTAGCAAGTATTGAACAAATGGCAAGAAACACCTTTCAGGTAAAATGCACATACATTCATTTGTCTTAATGACTAAATCATTTTGACCTGAGAATGACATTTGCTAAACTTAGTCAATTCTCACTTAACTGTATTATCTGATGACTCACAGAGTCTAGAAACACTGACTAAATGTGCAACTAATAAAATTCCCATAGATACATATGAATATATTACTAATATGCATAGTTAGGTAAATCTTTATATATTGAATTTTGAGAATACCACATTAAAATTTTTAAATACTATTCATCAGGCATTAGCTTTCAAGATCCACGTGCTGTCTAGTCCTTCTAAGAAGCTGTTTGGTCTCTGGATTTACGTCTGTCACCCACCCATTCATGGTGCTCGGATAGAGTCCAGGGTTTTGCACACCCTCCATTACTGAGCTCTGTCCACACCCACATTGTACCCCACGTGAAGAGCTAACCCCCCCAGCTGTGGTTCAATAAGCAAGGGTTGGTTCACCCAATTCCACATTCCAAGCACAAAGGACAGACACCAAGATGGCTGCAGCCCCACATCTTAAAGATGAACACCTGTACCTGGAAGTTTCAGTGAACAAATCAGCAAAGCAGACTTACCCCTAACATTCTGCATCAAGAACTACCTCTCAATATCTTGTTGAGTTGCTCATGAGTTGAGAGGAAACCATAATTCCTAAAAAATGAGATAGACCTCAACTGACATTCATGCTGGGGGCTGTACTGGAATTTGAACACAAGACATCACACTTGTCAGGCATGTACTCTACCATCCCCAGCCATAACCCCATCCCTTCTTGCGTGTTTTAGTTATTTTTCAGAGAAGGTCTCACAATTTTGTCTGGGGCCAACCTTGGATGGTGATCCTCTTACTTATGTCTCCTTTGTAGCTGGGACCACAGGCATTTACCACCATGCTCGACTTGATAGTTGAGATGGGGTCTTGCCAGCATTTTGCCTGGACTGGCCTAAAGTTGTGCAAACTAACAATAATTCTAAAAGTTAATAATTCAATCATGGAATTTGTTTAAAAGCCCAGAAATAAGTAAATTCTAATAATCTATCTTAAATTCAGTCTGGCCATGACAGGCCTTACTGGGCAACCATTGCCTGGGACTGCAGTCCTCACATACAGCAGTGTACCTGTTCTTGCTACAAGCAGTCAAGTTGACCCCTCTTCCTCTGAGTTTCCCCCAGAACCCAAACCATGTATCACCCACAGCCCTGATTCCACAATCTGTACTTGCTCTTCATAGTTTGCTAATTTAAACCTCATAAAGAGGTTGCCTTCTGTCACCTGGGAACCTACTGCACAGTGTTTAAAAACATGGTTATTCTGTTTTTACGCAATAAGGTTCTGCAAAATAAAGAAGGACGAGGGAAAGTAATGATCTTTTCTGTAACAACCCTCTCCATGCTGCTTTCTGTGCAGTTGACAAGCCAGCAAAATGGTTCCTACTGTGATTGGAAACACCCTGTTAGTAAGCTCCCTCCCAACGGCAAAAGGTCAAAAAAATGGCGTCAAAGTGAGAAGCCTGCCTGATCCCTGGAAGGCCTCCTGCCAAGGCTATGGGAGCCCCAGAGCCAACAGGAGGAATGCAAGCCTCCCAGCTTCCTCTAGTCCTGGCCACAGCACAGACCACCCCACCACTGCCAAGTCCCTGGAGCTAGCAAAGCCACCCAGAGTGGCCCCACAGGGTCTGTCCTCCTGGGCACAGAGCCTCTGACTCTAACGCCTTGCCCATTGCACCCCTGAACAATCTTCCTCTGACCCCAGCACCACTGCACCCCTTCCCAGAAGGAATGCCTCACTGGGATTGTTGTCCCTGAGATGAGATGTGGCTCAACCTCAGAGATTACTCTTTCCTATTGGAGCTGATCACAGAACATCATGGTTATCAGACACTTGTCTTATTAAGCAAAATCTTTGCGTGAGCCCGGAAATGTGTAAAACTGTGGATAACAGCGTCTCTTTCTCTTGACAGTGGGACTTCACTGACTACAGTGGTACCCTGAGCCCTAAAACAGACTTTAGAAGATATTAAAAGTTAAACTCTTAATTTGGTCACCATATCAAAAATCATAGCTCAAGCTGGGTATGATGGTCAAGCCTGTAATCCCAGCACTAGGAGGCTGAGCCAATAGGATCTTGAGTTCCAGACCAGCTTGGGCTGCATAGCAAGACCCTGTCTCAAACATACAAACAAGCAAACAAATTATAGCTGGTGGGGAAGAAAAGGATGGTAAGAAAGAGTAACGGTAAATTTGATCAAAATACATAATACTCGTGTATTGAAATACCACAATGAAACCCCTTTGCATAATTAATGCATGCTAATAAAAAGTTATTGTAAGATAAAATTGTAACTTTTCCCTAAAAAAAAAAAAAAAAAAAACACACTTTTTTTTCACAAGTTTTAGATGCTCTTTTGGGTAACAAGGTGTCCTTAGTACTTCACAACCATGAGAGCCTCTTTTCCCAGACTTCACACACAGCTGGGGACATCCTCAAACCACATGTCTGCCAAAGTGGGCAGCTGTGTCCAGCATGCTCCGGAAAAGCTGGGGACCCAGCTACTGCCTCACATGATGGCCGGTCTGCCCAACTGTGGTTCAGATACTCAAACCCTCCGTCCAAACTTAAGTGAGAATGTACCATTTGCACAGACTAAAAGTGGGCCCACAAGATAACCAAAGACAAAAGTACAAAAATTCACAGGTAATACGAATTTAGAATATCTCCTACAGCCAAACACCAAGGCCTAGGTACTTTAAGGATCAATAAAAATTGACATTGAATTCAGTAGTTATAAAATTACATTATGATACTTTTGTAACTGTTAAACACATGATCAAAATTTTACAAATGATGCATACCGTCCACAAACTTACTTTATTTTGACAAATTTGATGGACAGGCCGTGTGTGGGCTTCTGCTATCACTGCAGCACTGCAGCTGGCATTGAGGTCGAAAACTTCCAGGGTCCTGTCCCGGGCAGCTGTGAGCACCATGTCTGCCGGGTTGAGTTAGGGGTCCTCTCACAAGGTATACCCGTGGGGATGCTCAGTTCTGCTTTACGAACAATAAAATATGGAATAGTACGAGACTCAGAAGTGAATGATTAGTAAAGAATTTCTGAAGCTCCACAGAAAAGTCCTGAACTGGCCCAGCTCCACTTCACCTGGCTCTCAGGTGTCTGGCAAAAGCAGGTGGTGGCAGGTGGAGGGGGGCTACTGGAGGTGGGAGATGGTGAAAGGGAACATTTTGAGGTGGGACATCAGGAGCTGTACTTTTAGACATGACAAGTGTGAGAAGTCTAAGCAATACCCAAACCAAGATATCCATCAGCAGGTGAAATGCAGATGGTCTGAGCGAAAGATCAGAGCTGGTGATGACATGACAGCACATGGCCATTGTCAGGGAGTCATGGGGAATCTGGACTCAATGTCATGTTTTGTAGAACAGCAACCTCTGTGAATTTGTCAGTCCTCCACATGCGATAGAATGCCTATGCGAGTACTCCACGGTTGCCTCCAGCACTAACTTATCATACATCAGTCAGGAAAATACAAACCAGAAATGGCTGTCACCTTACCCTGCTACATGACACAACGCAGGTTTTTCCCAGGGACATTTATCACTATTGAGGTGAAACCCATTACAGGTGCAGTTACTGTAAAGGATGGTAAGCCCTGTGAGGAGAATGATCCATGTGCCCCAAAGCCTAGCACACCACTGGGGGCTCCTCAGGTGCCCAACATGGCCTTTGCCAGAGGACAGTGCTCAGTCTGTGACATGTAGAGGACCTGAAAAGGATACGGGAGTAGAAGTCATTCACTGCTGATAAGCTGGTCACATCTGCTGCGCCTGGTGTAGAGAGCCTGTACACGAGCTTATACCTACTCTTCGGTTTATACCTGGAAGGAAAAATAGACCATCCGTTTTCTTGCTTCCCTCTGACTTAACTAAGCATCCTACCTTTAAAAACATAAAAAAGCAAATGAAGGTTTCATGTCACTTAGTGAGTCATATTTTATAACACTGAGGGACTAAGTGGGTTGGCCACCTTAATTTTCCTTTGGGAAAACTTTTATTTTCTATTTAAAAACTCAAGGCATTTTTCTCCAGGAAAATAACATCATCTTATACAGTCGAAGAAAGCTCATTCCCGAGTATAAAGAGAAAATGTGTCCCAATTCTACATAGTCATGTATACAAAATTAGAAATAAGGGCAAAATAGTTTCTGCTGGGTATTGAGGGGGTAGGGGGAGAGGGAGGGGGCGGAGTGGGTGGTAAGGGAGGGGGTGGGGGCAGGGGGGAGAAATGACCCAAGCCTTGTATGCACATATGAATAATAAACTAAAAAAAAAAAGAAAGAAAGAAACCACAGTATTATAGAAAATGCTGAAACTTTCAAAATCCCAAAAATAAATAAATAAATAAAAAACCAGAAATCCTTATTGTTTTCTGAAGGGTAATAATGTAAGTAGTGAGTATTGGTTTAATATATGTAAGGTTTTAAACTCTAAAAATAATTTCCTAATACAAAGTAACTAGCAAACAATTCCATAAGTGGTCTTGTCCCAGTGGGGCACAGCTGAGAGAGGACGAGGCAACAAGGATGTCAGAAAAGGGCCAGACCAGCACAGACGTGCACCAGGCCAGGCCCAGGGCAAACATGTGCTATCCGAGATGGGAACGCAGTGTGTTCTGGAATAGGTGGGAGCAGTATGCCATTTGGAGAGCACATATCTGAGGGTAGGAAATGCTGGGAAGGGTCTCAAAGGTGACAGAATTCAAGGAGAGACCTTGGAGAGGCGCAGGAGGAAGGCCACATAAGAGAGGCCACATGTCAGAGAAGGCATGGGAACAAACAACTAAATGCAGGACAGTGATCACACAATGACCTTAATGAAAAACCGCATAAAGTTGTATAGAGGATGGCTGACCTACGAAGTAGTTACTTAATTTGCAAAACTATTAGGATAAGGAAAGGCCTTCTAGAAAGATAGCCAGGACCAAGAGGCATGAGAGAGTGGGAGCACTGCGGGAAGGCCAGGAAAGGGTTCTGCAAGTGTGAACAAGCATGGGTCTCCTCCTCCCATCTTTCAAAACTAAAAATAGGACTCTTGTGGGATCAAGGTTTCCTTTCATTACTACCAACTGGACTATCGTTTCGATTATCTGCTCTAAGCCGGTGTCTACCTACTAGGCTAGAGAGATGGAGCTAGGAAGTGTCAGTTCACTCATCAATAAACCTTTGGGTCAGGTTTGAGATGGTGACTAGCTCCACACACTAACTGCAAGCATTTCCAAGGGTAAAGCAGTAACTGCGGGAGAATAACTGCCCACTGGGCAGTGGCGGGAAGGCACTGACACTCTAGGAGTGAACACACAGAACCATATTCACCATCTGAAAATCTTGGAAGACAGAGAAGGAAGATCCATGCCAGTGGCAGACTTCCCAGTGTGCAGTATGGAGCAAGGACAGCTGAGGGGGTGGGGACTGAGGGGAAAGAAAGAGTGAGGGCCTCAGAAAACACACAATTTCATTCAAAAAATAAAATTTAGGGCTGAGGGTATGGTTCAAATAATAGGGTGCCTGCCAAGCAAGCACAAAGCCCTGAGTTCAAACCCCAGTACAATAATTATAACCCAAATATAATTGTCATATAGTAATGATAATTAGAGTGTGGAACAAGGAAGAGAGAGAGCAACACCTCAGCAAGTGGACTGGACAGAAGTGGCATGGCAGAGTAAGGAAGCAGAGACACTCAGAAGACACTGAAAAAACAATAGTGAGCAGATTTGCAGTTTAACCAGTCAGGAGTCCTGGGGTCAGCACAGCCTAGATGTACTGGGAAGGTTCCCTCTTCTTTCCAGCACTGCCAATAGTAGGAAGTCATTGTGAAAGGATCCTCCCTGACTTGGCCATTGGAGGAGTCAAAGGTCCCTGCACTATCCTATCACAGGAACCCATAGCAAAGGTTAGGTGCTTGTCCTCTGCATGCTACCTGGACACTTGGTGTAGCTATGGGGGAAGACTTTGAGTCAGAACACGTGGAGAGCCCTGCGTGGTGGGAAACTGGGCAGAGTCACAGGGAGTGGAAGTGGTTTCCATGTGGCCATGAGGCAGGAAAGCAGCTGGGAGGAGGAAGGGGTAGAAAGTGACTAGGGCAGGAGTCAAATTTCAGAAAGTCCAGACCTGAAGGGTCACTTGAACTGGGTCCCCCACCACAGCATGCAGTATCTATACCCTACAACCAGACACTTGAAGGCAGCCTCCAGAGACTGGGACCTGCAGAGGAAAGCTTGCAGCCCACCCCATCCAGTTCTGAGAAGCAGGAAGACCAGACCAGACCTGAGAGCCCTGTGGCTGCTACGCAGACAACGCAGAGGAAAACAGGAGTCAAACAGATTCTGCTCTTACTGGTGGTGCACAGCCAAAGTGGCTACTGAAAGAGAAGCTGGCATTGCTGAGTTTCTGCACTACTGCCTACACCACTGACACCCTTAGAAGACTGGAAACCTGTCCTCTTTATTATTTTTTTAATTACCTTTTTTTTCTTTGCTTTTCTGTAGAGACTTTTAAATCAGACTGATCAGATTAAATATTTACATATTTTTAATTTAATTACAGAATTTCTCTTTGCTTTGCTTTGCTACTTCCCTTATGTTGTTTTTCTCTTTCATATCTAATTTCTGTGATCTTTTCGTCCTGTCTGCTTTGGTTTGTTATTTTTTTATACGATGGGCTCTCCCCATAGGGCCCAGGCTGGTCTACCTGTCTCAGCCTGATTCGTGCTAAGATTGTAGATGTGAGCCACCACATCCAGCTTTTAAATTTTTAATTTCAATCCTCTCTCCCACCTCCCTTCATTCTTTAAATTCTCTGTCATTAATTAGATCAGTTTTCTTTGTTATTTCTTACTCTTTCTCACCTCTCCCCTTCTATAATTCTTCTTTATATCTATTGGTTTGGTTATTTGCTTGTTTGCTGGGTTGTTTTTCTTTCCCACTTTATCTTTAGATGGATCTTCTTTATCTCTTCCCTTCTTCTTTTTAGTTCCTCTTCTAGTGATTTTCACTCTTCTCCTTCTAGATGTCTCTCTATTTTTCTAACATTACTCATTAATATTAAACATCGTATCTTCTTTGTATTCTCACCCTTATTAGTAAACATCTTTTTAGTTCATGCAGTGTCATATCTGCTCCTTTACTTTCTAACTTTACTGGAGTTGTGGTGGTGATTGATTTTAATTGGTTATTATTGTGTTTCCAGAATGGGTTTGTCTATCGCTGCTGCAGTGTCTTCTTTTCTCAGTCGTCCTGTGGATCAGGCCCAGTATCTTGAGCTTGTTGGGTGAGTCAGTGGTTACTAAACTTCACCCCAGGTCCAGTGGCAAGAAAATTCATCTCAACCTTGCCACAAACTGGTCCTTCCTGAACATTCCAAATAATTCAACTGAAAGAATACAGGAGACAAAAGCCTCTGACCAATGGCTTAGCCCTAAATGTGCAAGTCCCAATGCAGAAACATAAGAAATATTATTTTTTTTTAAAAAGGCAACATGACTCCTCCAAAAGTTAACAATTCTACAGTAATGGACTCTAATAATAGTGAAATGGATGAAATTCCAAACTATCCAACAGAATTTTTGTAAGAATGACCCACAAAATCAAAGAGAACATAAACAGATGAATGAATTTAAAAAGAATATAAAACAAGGCAGGATATGAAAGAATAACTCAACAAAGAAATAGAAATTCTGAAAAAAATCAAATTGAAAATTTTAGAAATGAAAGATTTAAAAATCCAAATTAAAAAAAAATGTTGAAAGCCTCATCAATAGACTGGATCAAGTGGAAACAGGTTATCAAGGCTTAAAGACAAGATAAATGAATTACAACATTCAGACAGTAACAAAATAATGATAAAGTGTGAACAAACTATACAAGACCTCTGGGACACCATAAAAAAACAAACTTATGAATAATGGGCATAGAAGAAGAAGAAGTACATGCTAAAAACATAGAAAACATATTCAATGAAATAATAGCAGAAAATTTCCCAAATCCTGGGAAAGAGATGGACATACAGATAAAGAAGGCTTTCAGGACACCAGATAGACATGACCAGAAAAGAACCTGCACACATCATATTATAGTTAAAACATTAACTTTACAGAGCAAAGAAGCAACCTGAAGAGCTGCAAGAGAGATGCAACAACGTAAACCCATCAGAGAGACAGCAGGTTTCTCAACAGAAACTCTAAAACCCGGGAGGGCATGGCATCAAGCCCAGAAAGAAAGCTACAACTGACCTAGATTACTATATCCAGCAAAGCTATCCTCATAATTAAAGACGTACAACCTTCCACAATAAGCAAGACTAAAGAATTCATGACCATAAGGGAGGGGGCAGGGGAAAGGGAGGAGAAATTACTCAAACATTGTATGCACATATAAATAAAAGAAAAAAAAAAACAATTCATGACCAGTAGGCTAGCACTGCAGAAGGAATCTTACACACAAGAGGAAGATAAATATAACCATGAGAATTCAAAACAGAATAAAATCTCACAATGGAATATTGTTCATCCATAAAAAAGAAAGATGATTCATTTGCAAGAAAATGGATGAAACTGGAGATCATCATGCTAAGTGAAATAAGGCAGACTCAGAAAGATGAGTATCACAAGTTTTCCCTCATACATGGAATCTAAATCTAAACAATCAAATAAAAATACAAGTATATAAAAGGAGAAATACTGGGTGAGAGTAGTGGGACAGAGGAAGAAGACAAGACAGGGTGATGAGAGGTGAATATGATCAAAGCATACTATGTAAATGTATGTAAATGTCATAATGAAATCCCTTAGTTTGTATGAAGAAAACTGTAAAATAAAAATAAGTAAATAAAAAAACTTACTAAAATTATAGATAAGAAAATGAGAATTAAGAAAGAATCGAACATTACAAAATCAACAAAATTACAGGAATTAGTACCTGTCATTTAATAATAACTCCAAATGTTAGGGTCTCAGTTCTCCAATTAAAAGACATAGATGGAGGGCTGCATTTAAAAATAGGATCCAACTGTTTAACATACTCGAGAAATGTACCTTACTGGCAAAGACAAACACAGTCTGAAAGTAAAAGGATGGAAAAATATATTCTAAGTAAATGGAACCCAAAAGCAAGCATGAGTATCTATGCTCATGTCTGACAAAGCAGATTTCAAACCAAAATTCATCAGAAGAGACAAAGAAGGTTGCTTCACATTGATAAAAGGGATAAAACAATTGTAAACATATACATGCTTACCATTGGTGCACCCAATTTTATAGACAAACACTACTGACATAAAGGCACAGATAAACCCCAACAAAATAAATAATTAGAATATATAAATAATTCAAAATTAAACAAAAGAGCAAATTATTCAATCAGTAAATGGGCAAATCAACTTATACTTTTCAAATAAAGAAGTACAAACGGCCATTAAACACATAAAAAATGTTCAAGATTTTTAGCCATGAGGAAAATGCAAATCAAAATGACATTGAGATTCTATCTCACCCCAATAAGAATGGCAGTCATTGAGAAAATGGCCAACAAATGATGGCGAGAATGCAGGGGAAAACAAACTTTATTCACTGCTGGTAAGAATATAAATTAAACCAGCTAATATGGAAGTCAGTATGGAAGCTTCTCAAAGAATGCAAAATAGAACTCCCATGTGATCCAGCCATACCACTTCTGGGTATATACCCAAAAGCACTAAAGTCAGCTTTCTATAAAGGTACCATATAAAGACACCCATATTTATTGCAGCATTAGTCAGAATAAACAAATTATGGATCAACCTAAGTATCCATCAACAATCGTAAGGATAAAGAAAATGTAGTATGTGTGTATACATATATGTATATATACTGCATATATGTTTGCAATGGAGTTTTACTCAGCCATAAACAACGAAATTATATCATTTTCTGGAAAATGTATGGAACTGGACATCATGTTAACTGAAATAAGTCAGTCCTACAAAGACAAGTATCACATGTTTTTTCTCATATGTGCAATCTGGGGGGAAGAACATGAAAGTAAAAGGGGGACAATTAGGGATGCAGAAGGAGGAGGGGAAGAAGAGAGAGAAGATAAGGAAGGTAATAGAAGGGATGAAAATGATCAAAGGGCATTAAATGCATGTGTGGGAATGTCATAGTGAAATCCCTTACTTTATAAACTTAATATACACTAATAAAAAAAGATGCAAGCTCTCAAGTCAATGAAGAATCATTCTGTAAAGTATATATACTATAGATATAAGCACAGGGGGAATCACAGAAGGATATACATCAAAATGTTAATGAAAAGATATGTTGAAGAACATTTTGACTGGCTGCAGTCTGCAGTGGTGGTCACAGGAAAATAAGCTCGAGTAGATTTCAAGACAAAGGTATCCAGCTTGCCATATCAGGGTGGCAGTGATCACAGCACCCTTCATGGAATCATCATTTCTAGTGTTCCTGTCAGGCTGCCAATCACAGTGGACCATACTTTCTGCTTTGGGAAGGCTGGGATGGGGCAGGCCCCTGCCTCTCTGACCCTTGGATTGCAGAGAGATGGGTGCGGCTCAGAAAGGCAGAGGGAAAGTTACAGCTTCCTGGCCTGATTCAGGTCACTTTGCCCTGCTCATGATGGATGAGGTGATCTGTCCCATCCTTTATGATTAACAGCTTCAGCAAAAGCATGGTCACTGCCATCCAAGAGTCCTGATCCATTCCAGCAGGCATGTGTAAATCATGCACCTCCATGAATTTTACCTGTGCTTCATAAAGACTTTACCCTCCTAACAAAAGATAGCAAACACATAAACAAAACAAAGAAAAGCATGGTTTTGATTCTTTTTGGTGCTGTTGTCAATACGATTGTTTTCCAAATTTGCTTTTCAGATTGTTGTTAGTGTAGAGAACCATAACTGATTTTGAAGGTCTAGCTGGCATCTTGCAACTTTACTGAATGTGTTAGTTTAACAGTTCTGTGTCAAACTAAAGAGCTTCTGCACAACAAAGGTAGCAATCAACAGAGCAAAGGGATCCCAAGGGATGGGAAGAAATGGTTGCAAACCATATATCTGATAAGAGGTTGATATAAATTACACAAGGACCTCACTACTGAATAGAGACTGGTTCCTTGAAGACCCTGAGCACTCACTTCCAACTGCTGGGGTGAGGGAGGGATGGGGTGGGGGGGAGATGGAGGCTCAGACTTTCATGTTCTCCACCCAAGCACAGGGACTGTGGGAAGCTGAGCTCTCTCCCTCAGGGGGCTCTGCGGTGGCCCACCGGGGCTCCAAAGTGAAGGAAACTTAGGGAAAACAGGAGCATGTGTTGACAACTCCTTGGTGCTTCACACAAGCAAGGGTCATAGATGAATGCAGACTCAGGCAGCCACACAGGGAAGAGTGTTCAGAGTTCTGAGATGCTCCTGGCCAATGGCCCATGGTCTGCATGCGGCAGAGTCCCCAAGGTGGAGCCTTGCGGGTGTGGAAAAGCTGGCAACAGCCTGCAGGTGACACTGGCACAAAGGCAACAACAGAGCCACAGTTCCAGCAGGAAATAGGCCTGGGCCACAGACCTTCCACAGAGGACCTGCGCTGGCAGATGTGTGGAGGCACTGGCTCCTGAGCAGCTGCCGGTACCTGCGGGCTACAGCTGTGGAGCAGGGTATCAGGCAGGGGACCAGGGGGGTGCACTCACACTGAAAGGCCCCTCCTGCCAGCTCTGGCTGTGGTCACTGGGCGCACGTGACGGGAGACTGCAGGGAAGTCTGTGATCAATCAGTAATGACGGAAAGGCCTGGCTGGCACTAACACCCACAGCAGGCAAATGGCACAGCTGCCCGGGCATGTGACCAGCACCACCCATGAGAGAAGAACTACAGGTCACCAAGAGAACAAACTTCACAGATGAGGGACATCACCGAGGGATGGGGAGGGAATTCCTACATTGCTCATTGATAGGACCCGACCTCTAGGGAGACTTTCCTGTTCATTATTCCATGTTCCCCTCCCACTCCACAGGACAGGTGGGTCGTTGGGGGAGGGGCATGCAACATTTCACTCTCACTGTCATCTGAACTGGACAGAGACGCCCTGGCCTGGAGGAGGGTGGGGCTGCAGCTGGGTGGCCCATGGGCTCTTCCTGCAAAGTCCAGGCCTTCAAACAGCTGGGCCCTGGAAAGAGAGTGTGGGTGGGGTGGCAGCTAGAGTCTACCCAGGTAGACACAGGACTGATCCGACCAGACAGACAGCAGACTCAAGCTAAGTCACACCTGTCCCAGTGTGCCCTGTTCTAGAGCTGAGCCACCTCCCAGGAATAACTGGGACGTCCTACCTGCTCTCCTTTCACAGTGGAGAGCCACCAAGTGAGAACCTTCTGGACCACAGCCAGACAGGTAGGTGGCTGAGAATCAAGCACCAGTCACCCCTGGGCTGCCATGGTGTAAGGCAGATATGGGGTTCCTAAGGGGCCAGCTCCCTCGGCCCCACATTCCCCATGGGAAAGGGCCCAAGCTGACCCGACTGCCATGATCCACAGAGAAGTGTCAGCAGCACTCTGGACTTCAGGCTTGAGGAGCCTGGCCAGGCACTATCTCTCTTCCAGAGATGTGAGAACCCTAAGAACTCCCAAACCCTTTATCTGACTGTGGCACCTTGAAATCACAAAGTGACTCCTCCTTCCAGCCCTTACTGAGCAAGGGAAAGACAGCCTATTGTGTTGGCTACAGGAAGACACAGGGGAAGGAGGTGGAAAGTGGAGCCACCTGGCGGCACAGTGGCAGCTTTCCAGAGCAGGACCAAGCAGCCCCCTGGCTTGCTGGAAGAAGCTGACCAGAGGGTGCACACAACACCCCAAGGTGGGGGACAAGACCTGAGATCACTGAGCACCCCAGCACACAGCACTGCTAATAGTGAGCAGAAGCCGGAAACAACCTAAGGCCCATGGGCGAGGGGAGGGTGGCTGGGCACATTCCTCAGCAGAAATCTTCCATAGGTAGAACTGTGAAGTTATGCATTCCGAAAGGTGACTTGGACCACTAAGGAAGGTGGCTTGCCTTACAAAGTGGACTCCTGTAGGACCTCAGACACAGCAAGAATGCAGGACTGCAGTAGGAAGCTAATAGGCCAATCTTGAGAGGGGGAAACCTGACTCTATCAGAAACACTTTAGTTCTTTAAATTTTAAAAACATACTGCAGCTGTTTCTTACTCCCTATGTGTGTATCTAAAGTACGTCACAACTTCAGCTTCTCAGTATAAACAGCAATTGTCCCCACAATGTCACTTAACATGCTACTAGAATTCAGGGTTCTCTAGCGTGTCACACCACAGGCCCTCAGTGTGGCCACATGGCAAGAAGGTGGATAAAGTACACAGCTCAGTGCTTGGCTCTCTCCACAAGGTTGGAGGGAACACATGAGGAGTTTGTTGAGCATTTTCAAATGAACACACCTCTGTGCAGAGCTCAGTGCTGAAAAGATGAGGGGAAGGCAACCTACCTTTTTACCTCATCTTTGCAGAGGTCGAACTGATACTTCGGGAGCCGAAATTCAGGGCCTGAAGACAACAGTCTGAAAGCATCCACGTAGTAGAACTGCGCAGACTGAACAGGCTTGGGAAACATGTCTCTGCCCTGGGAAGCAGACCGGCCATCACTGACCTGCCACAGACCTCAAGAGTAACAGCATCACTCCGAACAGATTCCCTTCTTAACCCTAACATCTGTCTGTCCTCAGTGTGCAAAACACTGTTAGAGGCTGGGGAGTGGCTCAAGGGGTAGAGCGCCTGCCTAGCAAGCGCGAGGCCCTGAGTTCAAACCCCGGTGCCACCAAAAAAAAAAAAATTGCTATTAGAACTGAGACACTGTTGTTCTGCTTACTGACTGTGACTGGAAGGAGTTATATCACTAAATTGTACTGTAAAGAGTAAACTCTATAATGAAAGATGGTTGAAATGTTGAAGTAAATAAGATATACTAAGTAGCAAGGATTTTATTAGCACTGAAATTTAAAATGTGTCTGAAACGTATGTCTGCCAGCTTTGCCTCTCACTGCCAGCCACACCAGTCCAGAATCCAGTATTCTGACAGCTCTGGGACCCAGCACTCCTTTTGCTGTGCCACCTAATGCATGCCTCGCCCCCAGAATGCTGGTCCTGCCTGACCCACCCAGCTTCTTGTCCCCTGAGCACAGAGGCACAACTCAAGAGGGTCACTACCCACAAAGCACTGCAGGTGAAAATGCCTTCCACACACCTAGCCTGGCAAACATCACAGCTGAGCAGCAAACCCTGCAGAGTGGGCTGTGTCCCTGTGATCGGGGCCAACGGGGTGTAGCCACCACTCAGCATTGCCAGAAAGCATCATACCACATACTGCCAGCCAGGAAGAGACCCACATTCAAAGTAAGGTTTCTGTTGCATTCACTTTCACAACACTGTGAGATTGAAGCGCTAAGTTGAGATCCCTCTGCATTGAGAGGGACTAACATCGTTGAAATTTCCACTACTCATGCATTGTGCTTGCACCTCACCAGCTCACAATCTCATGGATTGAACCTTACTTCCCTATTATCACCTCTTCTTTTCCTGTCTTAGTTGTGGATTATCAGAATCTTTCTGTCTCTCCTTCCTCACTCTAGTTCCAAGCAACCTCACTTAAGTTTACTCGAGCAAGTAGTCTTCTTCCACAAAACACACCTCCCCCACATAATGTCCTCTCAGCCACTGTGGTCACCTCAAGGATTGAATTGACATCTAAAATTATTCAAGTACTTCAGTATGAATTTTTTGCTATTTTTCGAGCATAAAATTTTAACTGTATGTATGCATGTCCATGTGCATATAGCAAATGTACATACTGTGTGTGCTATGCATGTGTGCTCATCTGTGAGTGTATGTGTACAGGAAACTGCTCCAGCCATCTGCAGCTTCTGCTGCCCTGAAGCAAATTCCCCCTTACATCCATTCCTAGTCCCCTGGTGAAGCAGGATGGACCTGAGAAGGTGCCTGTGGGACAACTGTGAGTGTCCATAGCTCAAGACCACAGAGCAGTCGGTGGCACATCCCATGCATCCCAGGACGATTGTGTACACTACCAGAAGCAGCATGGTATCTGCCCTGCGAGTTGACCACACCCTCACAGTACGGTCCTGGGCCACAGAGAGCAGCCACCTCCTGTCATGGCTCCAGCAGACAGTGCTCACAGCTCCATCATGACCTGAGGATGGGAGAAGAGTGAAAGTCATGGACTGTTACCTGCCTGTACTTTCCCAGGACACCTAGACCTGCTCTTTGCAAGAAATAAGGGGAACATCTGGAGGTATGTCCTCGCTATGGTGACAACACAGGACCTTGGCCCTGAGTCACATTATGGTGACAGCACGGGACCTTGGCCCTGAGTCACATGACAGTTCATTTAGAGGCCCACTAACAATGGTTTCTAAAGAAAAGTTTTCCAAATTCCCATGTTTCCTAAAAGATGAAATTCAAAGTCCTTTGTGCACCTGTGAGTCTATACCTGTAAGTTTTGAAGAGAATGTTATAAAATGCAGTACTGCATAAGAGAGTACAGAGACTCGAGGATTTTATGATAATTTGCCAGCATTTTCAACAACTTTTTATTTTGGTATTAAAGGAAAAAGTCAAAATGATTCCCTGAACGTATTCACATATAACCTGACGATTTGCTGTGATGGGTTGGAGGGTTTTGTCTAAATGCCATGCTGGACCCAGGGTCCTACAGAGTGTGGCTGCCAATGGCCCCCGCTGGACTCCAGGCAGGCTGTGACCTGCCAACCAAAACTCCTGCCTGTGCTCACCAGAGCTCTGCGATCCGGCCTTCCCCTCCATGCCCAGTGTCCTTCTGGTCAGAGACACACTGTCTGTGGGTTCCTGACTCATCTTATCCTCATAGCCTCTGAGAGGGGCCTCAAGCCAGGAGAGGCCGACTTGGACCAATCTCCTCAGGCTGCCATCACCTGAGTGCTCTGAGAGGCCAACAAGTCAAGAAGCAAAGAGAGGAGCATCTGAGAGCCATGCGCTGGGGAGCAAGGTGGAGAGAGGCAGAGGCAGAGAGGAGAGTTCGGAGGCTACTCCACAGAGAGGAGATTCGAAGGTACACAGCTTCAACCATGCACCCAGACAACCAATGACCCATGTCTTCTCCCCTGCCCCTGACGCAGGGTGCTAAAAACATGCAGTGGGGGCCAAACTCAAAGATTCCTGCCAAACAGGGCTCAGCCCATGTCAGGTGGATCTCAGCGCAGGAATTACACACAGTGGTTTAAAGAGTAGGCGATGAACCAGTCTCATCACAATGATAATGGTCAGAAAGGCACCAAAAGAAAAATGGGGAAAACCAGGACTTATATGTATGTAACTTAGCTCTGTAACAACCTCAAGAAAACTAAAATTTACTGAGCAGGAGTTAAGAGAAATAGCTTTGCTGCCCTCTTGTGTAAGTTCTGGCAGTGTTCACTTAAGAAAGACCCCATTTTAAAGACTCAGGGCTGCTTAGCAACCAGAAGCAGGACTTACTGGGAAATAATGTTGGTGCCAGTTAACAGAGCATGCCAGTCAGGGAACTGTACTGCCCTGGAGGTAGCCAGCCACTGAACATACTTGCCACAGCTGGGGGGAACAGCCTGGCCTGGCACCTGCTTCCATACCATGCTACCATCTGACCTGGAAGCAACTTTCCTACCAGTTGTGAAGTTCACATCCCTCCAACACCAAAAGAGGGTGCTCAGATCCACTCCACCTTGGCTACAGGACTCCCCAGCTACAGGATCCCTGGCTGAAGGACCTCCGACCACAGGTGCCCAGGCTGATTGCCTGAGGGAGGAGCAGGTGGGGCCACTGTAGACTGTGAGCCACTCCAGGCTGGAACAGGCTTCCAGCCCCAACCTCCAGCTATCACAGCATCCATCATTACCACCAGGCAACAGCTGACTCAATGTCAAGAGCAGGTGTGACTAAGATTCCACCTCACCCCTGTTGGAATAGCCAACATTAGCAACACCACTAACAACCAGTGGTGGTGAGGATGCGGGGAAAAAGGAACCCTCTTACACTGTTGGTGGGAATGTAAACTAGTACAACCACTCTGGAAAAAAAATGGAGGCTACTTAAAAAGCTAGACATTGATCTACTATTTGATCCAGCAGTACCACTCTTGGGGATATAACCAAAAGACTGTGACACAGGTTACTCCAGAGGCACCTGCACACCCATGTTTATTGCGGCACTATTCACAATAGCCAAGTTATGGAAACAGCCAAGATGCCCCACTACTGACGAATGGATCAAGAAAATGTGGTATCTATACACAATGGAATTTTATGCAGCCATGAAGAAGAACGAAATGTTATCATTCTCTGGTAAATGGATGGAATTGGAGAACATCATTCTGAGTGAGGTTAGCCGGGCCCAAAAGACCAAAAATCGTATGTTCTCCCTCATATGCGGACATTAGATCAAGGGCAAACACAACAATGGGATTGAACTATGAGCACATGATAAAAGCGAGAGCACACAAGGGAGATGAGGATAGGTAAGACACCTAAAAAACTAGCTAGCATTTGTTGCCCTCAATGCAGAGAAACTAAAGCAGATACTTTAAAGCAACTGAGGCCAATAGGAGAAGGGGTCAGGAACTAGAGAAAAGGTAGATCAAAAAGAATTAACCTAGAAGGTAACACCCACGCACAGGAAATCAATGTGAGTCAATCCCTGTATAGCTATCCTTATCTCAACCAGCAAAAACCCTTGGTCCTTCCTATTATGGCTTATACTCTCTCTACAACAAAATTAGAGATAAGGGCAAAATAGTTTCTGCCGGGTAGCGAAGGGGTAGTGGGGGAGAGGGATGGGGCAGGAGGGGTAAGGGAGGGGGTGGGGGAAGGGGGACCTAAACATTGTATGCACCTATGAATAAAATAAAAAAATTTTTTAAAAGTCAATGAGCATGGACTAAAAATATAAATAAACTACTAATTTTATTTATTCTTAAAAAAAAAGAGCAGGTGTGAGCACTGTCAGAGTAGGTTTGTAAGGGACACCCTTCCCCAGACCCCAGAGCCACAGAGATCCTAGTCTGCCTGGTCCTGTAGCATGTCACAGGGGCCAGGGGCTGCCCTTGCTCACTCCCAGAACAGCAGCCACAGAGACACCTGTGGACAGCTGAAAGCAGCTCCCCTTCTCTTCCAAACTACTATGATCAACACACAGGTCCCTCTAGAGCCGAGGGCTCCAATCCCCTAACACAGCAAGGTGGCCACGGAGGACCGCACCCAGGCCCCCTCGTCCTCCTCATTTCACAATTTCATTGTTGTGATCAAACATTTCAAAAAATGTATCTTCTCCACAGAACCAAGCATGAAGGCCTCTTCTCGTGGTGACCATTCCCTGTGGTGTGTCTGACAGCAGACAAACCTCAGACAACAGGACAAACAAGACCACCAAACACAAACTAGAGAACAACTCCTTTCCCAGGATAAGAGGCCCCGCTTGTGGGATAGACACTGACACACAGAATAGAGACATTGTGTACCCCGACTCACAGAGAAGGGGTAACTTGGCAGGGCTTGAGCAGACAGGACCTCAGAACAGGTAGCAGGATGCTGGAGTTTAATCTCATCCTTAGGTAGATTCCACAATCCAAAATCAAGTCTTGTTGCGTTAATGCTCTGAAATGCCTGACCCAGACCTATTGACTAGGACCCTCACTCTCAGCCCCACTGGCTCCCTGCTTAGTGGGTTCAAGTCTTTTCACTGTGTCTGTCGAGAATCTGCTTCTTGTCCCCACAAACTTGGCAGAAGGGGTGGAAATGAACACCAAGGCTCGTGTACAAGACAATGATTTTTGGTGGGCAGCATAAGCACACAGCTCCTCCTCCAGCTACCCTGCAGGTCATCCAAGCTGTGCTGTGTTTTCAGCCCTACCCTGGGCGCCTGGACCTCCAGGAGAGAATTTCAATTTACACTTGTCTCCTCTGCCTGGCTTTCCGATAAAACACAAACACATACCATTCTGTTCTCTAGTGAGCTGGTGAGACAACAGTCATATTTTCAAAGTTGAGTTCCACAGCTACTGAACAGGAGATGTGCAAAGTGAAATGACACACTGGAAATTACAACAGCAGCAAGGACCATCCTCCCCAGAGAGAGCAACGTGTTTTAAGGATGAGTTTAAACACCACTCGGTTTTCTGCATTCGGTGAGAAGCCCTTGGCCCAACAATAAGATAAGTGCATAAACACCCATGGTCAACACAGTGACAATCACATCAACTGAACAGCAACAGTTGAATGCTGGCGGCTCCCAGCATTCAAGGTGACTTTCAGTAGGAGTCTGGTCAGAAGCAAGAATGTGGGGACTTAAGTGGGCTGGAGGCCAGGTGAGGCAAGGAAGTGACCAGGAAGAAAGGTGTTCTGCCACACACCACACTAGAGGAGAGATCACAGTTCCCCACACAGCAAAGGAAGGAGCCAGGCTCTGCCCACAAGGGCGGTGTGGACATAGCAGGCAGCCTGAGGCAGACCAGACAGCCCAGATGCAGTCACCCTGACCTTCCCGGTCCCTCATTCCATACCCCGCCTCCATGCTGCCCAGCCCTCGTGCTGTCAAGAGGAATGCATAGGGCAGATGGACTACCACAGACTTTTTGGCATTCAGGTTTTTGTTTGGTAAAAATATTACCAGTGTTGATCTGAAGCAAGCAATGGTGGGCTGTGAGACTTCAGGTTTTAGAACTCAGTATCTATGTGTGTCAGCAATGAAGCTGACATGTGGTCGTTTAACATGGCTGCTGTCTTAAGAAATCGTTCACCTTGTTGCACTTAGAAAAACATCTATTACAAACCCTACTGAATTTCAAAACACATTTCCATGATGTCTTTTGGTTACATTAATTAAACACATTTCAACTGTGTAGGGTTTGATTTTCCCTCCTGGCTCTTGACTTTCAGGGCACTGGCCAAAACACAGGCTGCATTTTGTGTCACAGAGCACACACACTCTGCGTGGGATACGGACTCAGCACTGTCTAGTTTATTAGCACGCTTATCATTCCACCTCAGGCCGAGCCTCAGCTCTGCATCTGAAAGGGACCAGAGAACAGTCACCAGGTGACACCTAGGACCCATGAGGGCATCCTCACACACACGCTCCTTAAGGTTAAGACACATTTTACCTGAAAGAACAGCAGGGCTTCCTGTAAGGCTGGCATCAAAGACCAGGGCGAGATGGTTAGCTAAGCCACAGGCCAACCGCTTTCCATCTCCTGTTTGAAAAAATAAATACTTCCATGAAATCCTAGCATGTGTGAATCCCACTGACAATTCACCAGCTAAGGTGAAGGAGTTACAGGTGACTTGATGTCCACCTTCTCAGGTAAGGAGGATCTGAAACAGCAGGTGACAAGGCTACAGCCCTGTCATAGGACTGACGGGGTGCCAGGCCCTGAGTTCACTCCTCACAGGGACCTCTCACCATCTCCTCACAACCTCACGGTGCAGCTGCCACTGGGATTGTTGTGACCCTCTGTTCATAGAAGAGGAGCTGAAGGGACAGAACTGAAACTGCTGTGGGGCTGGCACACAGCAGGCACTGGGAGCCCAGGAGCCCCTCTATCCAAGACACCCCAAGCACATGCCTCCTGCTCTACACCTCAGACTGGTAAAGAGGCACACTATTAAACAGTTCCCTAAGACAGGGCAGAAATAAATCACAGACTTCATCCACAATGCTCGGACTTGATCTACACCAAATAAAAGTCCTAGTCTATAAAAGTAAACACATCAAGTATCAAAGGCATATTCACAGATAGCACTACATATCTAATTCCCCAAAAATATTAAGAAAATTATTTGGCTAGACATATATGAAAATCAGAGGGAACTTAGCAGAGGTGCAAATCCTGACAGGTTGTAGGCACTCCACTGAAAATTCTTTGAACCTGGTGAAGGTCGGGACAGTGTGGTACAAGATGGGCATCATACCTAATTCTGCTCTGTAGGAAAAAGCAGGGCATCTGCAAGTAGATCACACTTCTAGAAGAATTCAAGCCAAGAGCATGGCCCACATCTATAAACCCAGCTACATGAGAGGGAGTAGTCTGAGATAGACCCCCAGGCAAAAATGCAAGACCCTACCTGAAAAACAGCTGAAGCAAAAAGGGGCTGGGAGTGTGGCTCAGTGGTAGAGAGCTTGCTACCACCATAAAAGAAAAAAAATAGTTCAAGTCTGGAACCGCCTACACGAAACCACGGACACTCTTACCTGCTGCCTCCTCACTTCTTTCAAACATAATTAAGGAAAAATGTTGTGGCCTCTAAAAAGGAGCCTGGGACCACAGTGAGGTGAACCTGAGAACAGAGCAGCTGTGGGGAAATCAAGAACTGCTCAGTTCAGTAGGACATGGACCCTGGGAGGCCGGCCACAGAAGACACAGTTCACAGGCCAGCATGGAGGCTCCACATGACCAGGTGGCCAAGGCCCCAGAAGTAACGTGACAACTTGCTCGCCTCTGTACAGGAAAAGCCCTCCTAACCAGGTTCCTGTGTGTGCAGTGGCTGTATACACTGAACGCATGTGGGCCCCACCCCGGCATCAACACAGGAGCAAAATTCTCAGCCACCATCATCAATGTCACCAGTGCAAATGGGCAACACCTCACTCAGGACACAAACCACACCACATACTTCAGCTTCCAAGATTTTAAAGTGAAGTCAGATGGGACAGGGGACAGAGTAAGACTGACAGATGAAAGGGGTGAGTGGCTCTTGGGCACAGCCTACCTGAGCACTGAACACAACTCACAGCAACCGGCTCCTGGGCCACCGCGACCTGCATGCCAAGTTTGCTGGGTGGAGAATCCTCCAAAGGGTATTCTTCACTTTAAGGAAGGTCACAGGTAGTAAAAGTCAAGAGATATTTCCGAGTGAAGTTGAAATAAAAGAAGGCTAAAAATAAAGTGGATTTCCCACTGTTTGTATGTGCATTTCATTCCATTAAACTTGAAAATCCCTATCAACTCTTACATGCAGAATCACGAAGTAGCTCTTTAAAACAGATTCACATTCCACATTGCCAAAAACCATGTAATTGAGTACAACAGTGCATCACAGACAGAGGAAGCTATGTTCCAAGAACTGCGTCTTTGGGTGCTTCTGTCCCTGTGAACAGCATAGAGTGCACATACACAAAGCCAGACGGTGTGACAGACACCTGCTGAGGCTGGTGGGCATACAGACACAGCACAGCCCGTTCCTCCTACAGCCATGCTGAGCAAAGCAGCATGAGATTGAATGAAGCACAGGAGCACCATGTCTGTGTCTAGGTGTGTCAGCGCTGCAGCGTAACACGGAAGCTGCTGAAATCTTTTCACCTGGCCTGGAATTGAACCCAGGACCTTGTGTACACTAGGACGGTTTGCTGCAACTGATCCACACACCAGCCCTTGATTTCTTAAGACAGGGTCTCATTCTGTAGCCCAGACTAAGCTCAAACTCACAGTCTTCCTGCATCATCTTCCTGAGCGCTGGGATTACAGGTGTGAACCACCTTGCCTAGCTTAAGTGTTGTCTTAAAAAAGTAAACTGCCATGCAAATAGACACTTTTTAGTATGACTCTTTTTAATTTAAACTGAAAAATGTTAAACTATGTTGCCAAAATATATCCCCTCAATCAATTTTTGCTTATGAAATCTTGAATTAAATCTGGATAAGTTTGTGTTTAAAAAAATTTGAAATTCGGGGCTGGTGGAGTGGATTGAGTGGTAGAACACCTGCCTAGCAAGTGCAAGACCCTAAGTTTAACTGCCAAAAAAAAACAGAGTTCAGAATGCTGGGCACGGTGACATACATCTATAATCCCTGCTACTTGGGAGGTGGAGACATGAAGATTGTGGTACAAGGCCAGCCCAGGCAAAAACTAAACAAGAGACCCTCTCTCAAAAACAAGCTGGCTAAGGTGGTGTACACCAGTAATCACAGTTACTTGGAGGGCAAAGGTAGTGGAGTAGCAGTCCAAGGCTGGTCCAGGGCAAAAGTGTGAGACTCTTATCTGAAAAAACACTAACGAAACAAAAGGGATGGGGAGGGGTGGCTCGAGCGGTATAGCACTTGCCTAGCAAGTGTGAGGCCTTGATTTCAAACCCAGTACCACACAAAAAAGAAAAGGAAGAAGAACTGGAGTCCAGTGCGGCTCTGTGCCACATGTCACAGCAGAGCACAAGACTCTTATCAGACTGGGATGGTTTCGCTGTAGACACTAATTCACTGTTGGTATGGAAACCATCAGAAAGTGGAAGGAATGGCAAAAACATTCACGAAAAATGTCAATGAATATGGGTAAAATCACACCCAGAAGATCACATAACTTCAAAACCAAGTAATCAGTTAAACATGGGCAAATGCTTTGACCAGACACTTCTCAGAAGAAATGCAAATGACCAACAAATACATGGAAAACTCTCAGTTTTCTCTCTAATGAAAATTAGGCAACAGGGTAATGCAAATCGCCCCAGTCAGAATGGCTACTGTAGAAAATAAAAATTTTAAATGCTGGCAAGGATGCAGGAAGAGGAGCCATTGCACACTCTCGGTGCAGCCACTGATGGACAGCAGCAAACTAAAATTAGGCTCCCATGTGACCTGCTGTCCCACTCCTGGGCTTATACCCAAAGGAAGAGAGACTGGCATGCCAAAGAGCTGCCACATTTACTGTGGCACTGCTCACAAGAGCTAAGACATGGACCAACCTAGGTGACCATTGTGGACACATGAGCAGATAAAGAAAATGCAGTGCATATGCACAATGGAAAATTACCCACCCATAAAAAAAATGAAGCCTTGTCATTTGCACCAAAACAGATGAAACTGGAGGGCACTGTACAAAGTAAAATAAGCCAAATACCATGTGTTCTCTCTCACTTGTAAAAATTTAAAAATCAAGTTGACCTAGCTACAGACCAGTGGTGACTAGAGGTTGGGAGGGGCGGAGAAGGAAGGATGAGTAGAAGAGGCTGGACTTCATCCATGAGCGTTGTAGGCAGGGGTTCAAATATCACGCTGATCTCCATTAATTTGTATGACTAATAGAAGTCAGTGTTCCAGTAAGTATTTCTGTAAACGTAATGATTGTTCACATGCAAATGTGCTGTAAATTACAAGGAGCATTAAGTTCAGTAGCTCAAATCTCTTCCCCATGAAAGCACAGCACTGGGAAGAGCCCAGTGGCTCATTCAGGCACTCAGGCCACGTCTGCAGACACTGGGAACACATCTACAGACACTGGTTGAGAACGGCCACTCACCAGGTCTTTTCTACAGCTAAATTTTAACAAAAATTCAATATTTCAAAATTCCTAAGGTGGTAAAAATGTCAGCATGTCTAAAAAGTTATTGACATGAGACAATGACTTGACTACAGCATACATATAATACAGATACACTCACATTTGTATACCTGCTTCCATATACACATATACCTGTTTGAAAAACATCAGCTAAAGCATTTTAAGAGTCTAAATTATTTCAGGTTTGCTTCAAATGCACGCATTAGGTTACATACCGTTTATAACTGTTCTTGCATTTTAAAGATCTTTTACCATTGAGCTTGATGTTAGCCTTTGGTGAAAACCTAGTTACACTGTGGAAAGAAAACTCACATCACTCTCAAAGACTGCAGTTCCAAATTTCTTAAGAGACTAGATTTAACAGGGCGGAAAACTGTTAAAGTACATACTGTACAAACACTTTCAGCTGCCTCCTGCTCCTCTCTGTTCCCATCTGTCCCCATGCTACACATCCTCTCTCCATGACCCCACTTAAAACCCTCTTAAGTTCAAAGTCCCACGGTGGCACTCAGGGTCATCATGATCTGGCAGTTTCCCTACCTCTCTGGCCCCCCACACATGGCCCTAAGCTCCCAACAAGCCCAACGCAGTGAATCTTAGGGGCCCACACCTAACACAGCAGATGCTACAAATGCTGAGCCAGTCACAGGTTGGGAACGTGGATTGGTGCTTAATTTTTGTGGCATGAATTTAGAATTCATCCACCCATGCAGCCATCATCCATGTTCTGCACATCTACCCCTCCTCTCTCCATCCATCTCATCACTCATCTGTCCCTCCCAACAGCCATTCATTGATGAGCGCTTTCAGAGAGGACTGAGGTGCCAGGTGCAGCCCCAGGCATAGGGGTCTATAGAACAGACAATAAGTGAAACACAGTCAGGCTTGCCATTGGTCAGGCCAAAAAGAAAGAGTAAGATCATATAGGGCCAGAAGGTGTGGTGCAGCCATGGTCACAAACACAGAGGCCTGGGACATGAGCTTAGAGAAAGTCTGAGCCCAGCCTGGGGCTGAAGTGGGCATGAGGAAAGGCAAGGGTAAGGTAGGTGGGAGCACCAACCAGGAGACCAGAGAGCCCACCAAAGGCCTGCCCTGTGATCAGTGCAGGGACACCATGGGGGGCTTCCAGGTAACAGGGCCACTTTGGCCACTATGTTAACTGTACATAAAGGGTCTAGATTTGAGGTAGGAGGGTGGTGTGTCAACATCTCATACAGAAAAGATAATTTGCCTTTGAGGCATCCAAGGCTCAGGAAGACTGGGGACACTTGAAACTCCATTGTAGTTTCTCTAGGTACTGTGCTATTCTTTGTTTCCTCATCTGTGAACAGCGTTGTAGTCAGACTTGCTACCTCAGGTTTGAATATCCTAAATTTTCATTCCCCAATGTTAAAGCAAAGCTGTGTTCTAAGATATGGCATTGAGGTTGGGCCTCAATGGGCTACATCACTTGAAACCACCATCCCTCTCTCTTCCCACACCCCACCATAGTCACCTACCACAGTCAACCTTATTATCTAATACAGACCTAACAGACTGATTGGAGGCCTGGTATACACTCGGCACTCAATAAATGTTTGCTACTTCAGTTGCTACCCTGCTGTGACTGTGGCACTCTAGGATCTGGCCCACCACATTACAGCTCCTATTGACACCTGCATTCCCTCTCCACGGTGTGACCCTCAAGGATACATTTGTGTCATAGTTCTGCTCGGTCATTGACACATCACTTGGGAGCTGTACTCACCACGGAGCTGATGTATAACCAGATGACCTAACTTTAGTGTGGAAAACCAGGGGCTGGTCTTCTACCACTCTCTGCCCAGCTGAATGAAATGAATTGAAATGAGCAGAAACATTTAAACATCACAATTGCATATGAACACAAAAAGAATGCAGTCTTTTAAAAACTGAGACTCAAACAGAATGAATTTCTGAGCTATAAATCTAAGAGGCTCCATATTGAAGTCAAACCAACAAAACCAGCCAAAGAGGATGGAGTTGGGGGATGAAAGTACAGAACAACACAAATGCTCTCTCCTTCTCTCTACTAAATCATGAGATGCGTAACACCATGTATTTCTAGAGTACAAGGCCTGCATCTCAGCACTGCTAAGCCACAGTGGTCACATGGTCACTGCTGGAACTCAGTCCAGTACCATGAAGTAAGGGGCTCTGCAAATCTGTAATGAGCACGAACCACAGTCCTCTCAATCTGGGCCCCTGAGTAGCTGGGATTATAGGCATGAGCCATTGCCTAGCCCTCTTTCTTATTTTTAACAATGAAATTCAGTTCTCTTTCTGTTAATATTCAAGCCTGATACCTGGGCCACAATCCTGTCAATGTCATGAGCCCCAGGAGCACAGTACTTTCTTAGCATCTCAGAACATCACTGTGCAAGTACAAGCACCAGCCAGGCCTTCTCTGCCCCGTAGGAGATCCAAGTTTATGCCTTGCCGCTCCTCAGAATGGGGTCCAGGTGACAGGGCACAGAAATACAAGGGAGGGGGAGGTGGGCTGCCTGGCAGGGCAGAGGAACACCTTCTTGGAAGGTGAGGAGACACAGCGTCTCTAAACAGAGTGTAAACTGAGCTGAGGGCCTTAATCTTTTTCATTAAGTCAAAGAAGAGGCTTATTGATACTGAGCAAGCATTTAGATTGGTCATTGAAGGGAAATTAAGAAGAAATTATCAGTAATTCTTATAGTATAAATAACTGGACATAATGAAGTGTACCAACTCAAAATAAAAGTTAACTTTTAAGTTGTTTCTTTGCAAACAGCAATATGTGAACTGTGTGGCTGCAGTTTACGATAAGCCAATCAAAACTATTTTTGAGACAATCGATAATTTATATGGCCTGGCTAACATAAGAAAGCAGGGAGCTACTGCTGATTGTGGATGGGTGTTTTAGAAATGCACACTGAAGTACATGGGGTCATTGAGGGTCCACCTGCGCAGCACGGCAGGGTCAGTAGAGACACTGTCAGTGTTGACTCACACCTTTGAACTCCAACGAATTATCCCAGCTCAGGAAGAGAAGCATGGAGCATGTTCCCTGCCACAGACCATCTGAGATAAATATGAACAAGGCAGAGGAAGGAGGAAGCCAGGGCAGCAGAGAAGCACTGAACTTCTGTGTGTTTCAGGGTGGGCTGTACTAACCAGATTGCTTTTCATTAGCAGGCTTGGGACATTTTTCCTTGGCAATTCCAAAATACAGTGGAGAAGTTGGTAGGACGCAGGACCTGAAGTAGAAGGAGACCAATATAAGGTGAAGGAAGGTCTGATGGAATTGTTTCGATGAAGCATGCATGTTCTGGTCGGATGCATATGGCTAACTCATATAAATATGGGTGCAGAATATTTGGAAATAGAAATGATCGAGCTTATTCTGATCCTTACAAGAAAAATGTTAAATGATTTTAGTAAAAGTCCTGCTTTGTAATTTACATTGCATTCTGAAATAAAACAGCGCTTGGTATTTGTTATGAACCATGCAGTGGTAGGCAAGACAGAATAATCATGTGAATAATGGTCTCTTTCACTCAGGGCCAGCATGGTTCAAGGGCTTACTAAATCTTAACTCATTTCTTCACACTACTACTCACTGACAAACACCCACACATGCCGCACCTGCACAGACCGTACCTGGCCAGCACAGACAGCGTCCTCCCCATACCAGGGCACTGCTGAGACTTCACCAGGGCAGCCAAGCTGATGTCCAACACGGCAATCTTACTCTCAAACATAGACGTGAGTATGCAAAGTGCCTGCGGTGATGTCATGAACATCATCACTGGACAGAAAGGCATGAACACAGCTTTTAGCAGTTAAATCTGCTTCACATACTCTTTGACAGGCCAAAGAGGCTACATAGCACTGTAAAATTCATAATATCATCCACATACAGAGCCTCACTGAACCAGTTGTTATAATGGCACAAGAGGCATAAATTAAGCATGTACTGTGCATTTCCAAGAACCACACACAGTTCAGACTTTGTGGCTGACCTTGTCATTGATGCTGTCACTCGTCACTGCACAGGATCCGGCAATGTGGATGCTCAGATTCCGGAAATCTTAATTTTCAGCAAAGATAAACAAATACTGAGGGATAAATAAAGTAACTTCAGCCACATTCAAGTGCCCACCCCACTCCAGGAATGGAGCCAGCAGCTGGGGACACAACAAGGAAGCAGACGGGTCCTTCTGTTATGCAGTCAGGCATGGGGGAAGGCCAGAGGTCAACCAGAGCACCAGCATGAAGGTGAGTGGAGCAGTGAGTTGGTGAAAGCAGAACCCACAGTTGGGACCAAGTGAGGGACCCTGAATCTGCACCTTGGGGACCATGAAGGTGAAGGGAAGAGCATGCCAAGTCACACTCTGCAGAAGTCTGGAGGAAGGAGAGCCATTTTGTCAGAGCATTTGACAAGAATAGAGGCTTCGGAGGACAGAGCACGTGGGAGAAGGCCAAGCAGCAGAATTCTTTCCATCATCACAGCCAGAAAGCCAAAAAACCCGGAGAGTGGTAACCAAGGTTGTACTTCGCCCCTTGGATCCCATGCACAGAGAGCAGGGCTGGGGCACAAAAGAGAGAGGACAGAGTATGAGGGGCACAGGGAAGGAATGGGTGACTTGCCCTACTTTTCTGTTACAGACAGAGACTGAGGAAAAACCCAGGGCTGGACCAAGAGTGCCTCTAATCAAGGTTAGACATATGGAGTCAGAGCCATAAAACCTTGGCAAGTATTAAGTATCAACAGTGCCGACAGGAGCCCAGAGAGAGGAAAAGTTCCTGTGCAGCACTGCCTGTGCAACACTGAGGAAAGCCTGACGCATGGGGACAGAGAGGAACCTCAGAGGAGCCTGACACACATACTTGGATGAAGGGAGAGCCTGGCCAGTTAGTTGTGCTGAGTGTCCCTGAGAAATGCAGAAGCACAGACCTGAATCCATGAATACAGAGGTTTTTGATGACCTGAATAAGAGCCGTGATGGCTGCTGGTGAAACTCATCCTCAGTTCTAAATGGTGAGCGCGTCTACCCTGAAACTCTACTGCCTCATTTCCCTTTCCAAGGATACACTCAAGGTATAGAAGACTGACAGCAAAAATTACTACACTTATGATCTTACCCTTGAAACGCAAAACTGCTTCCAAGTTGAAGTTCGCCAAGTTAAATATGAATAAGCCAGCTGAGCTTCCAATCCACAGGCATTTGCAGCTCTCAGAAGAGAGACTAATTTTAAAAGAAAGAATGAGCTCACATCCTCCCTTTCTTTCCCATCACCACAGCACCTCTCTGCCCCACTGTTCCTGTCCGCATGGTGGGGAGGCATGCACTTCAGTGAGGACACCAGAGCCATGTCCATCTGCGCCACAACGGTCTGTTTCCTCCCTCTCAGTTGGGCTATGAGACCTATGCTGAGCATAGGCACCCACTCTCCATCTACTGGGGACAAGAATCTCAAAATGGCAAAAGGCTGACCCCAGCTTGGCTCTGACCCTCATGGTTGGTATTTCCTCTGCAGTAACCAAAGAGGTTGGGCTGTGTCCTTTGGGGCCCTCTGCTCAGGAGAGGATCCTGGCATGCAGCTTGAGGTTCTCACAATCCCTCCTCCTAATGGTGCTTCCACGGTTGTGAAGAAGGAGACAAACTCAAAGAAGAAAGCCCCTGGCCCCCAGTGGCAGAGCTCATCCGAATGCCAACACCAGCCTGTTTGCTACCAATGAACAATCAGTAAGCCTCTTGGGAACCAGGCCAGGCTTAGAATCAAAGCGCTTTTGCAGATGGGACTTGCAGCAAGTCCTCTCTCAGCTCCACCTCCAGGACACAGCCCAGCTGCCAGCCTTCAGCCTCCTCACTGCTACATCACAGCCACCCGGCTCCCCAGACCAGTGCTGCACTACGTGCTCCAGCAGAAATTGATGGTGTGATCCTGGCTCTGCCCTTGCAGGAGCCCCGCAGCTGAGGAAGCAGGAGGAGTCCCTGCCTCCAGTTCACCTGCCTCCAGTCCACCCTGCCTCCAGTCCACCCTGTCCAGGGGGCAGCCCCACTGCACAGGTCAGCCTGCTGGTTTGGACCAGCAGGGAGTGCTGGCTCCCAGGACCACAGCAACTCTCAGCAAGTGCCCTGAGCTCTCACATGACTCTCAGAGCAGGTCCCCCCCGTGTAGAGAAAATAAGAAGCTCCTCTTCAACTGATTTCAGTCTCCAAGGCTACCCAAGCTTCATTATTATATTCCAATCACAGTTAGACAACTGCCTCTTACTTTCCCAAGTACTTATCCAGAAACGCATAATTCATGGCACATGTGGGAGAAAAGGGGTTTCAGAGTTTTGATTACAATGCCCACTTTCTAAGAAAAAGTCCTGCCACAGTGGTAAACTTCCACCTGGCTTTTGGTGAGTGAAGTTAAAATACTCCAATTCTTTCCATTAAGGAGGCTTAAATAAAACAGTTCAAATTTACCAAATTAAGACCTAAAATATATGATTCTAAGAACAAATATTATCACTAAAATCTGAGACAAAAGAATTTGGTATTTGTTTTAATCATTCTTAAAACTGAGCCCCATGTTCCCTTAAGGAATTCAAAAGGCTCTTCTCACACTTACTTGCCCCTCATGGAAACTGGGAAGTACAGGAGGTCACGGTGTGGGAGGTCAGAGTGCAGGAGATCACAGTAAGAAAGGTTACAGCATGAGAGCACCAACACGGGGAGCACTGCTTCTGCCTCTTCTCCTCTGCTCATCTCCTCTCTGCAGAGGCGCTGACTCCCTGCTAGGAGTGAAGTTACTTATCAATCAAAACTACAGGAAAATAATGGTCCAGTGAGATGCTACAGTAAGTGCTAGAATGAATCACAAGTCAGAAAAGACTTATAAGATTAAAAATAAAAATCACACCGTAGATTCCAAAGTCTGTGAGGGATAGATTTTCATGTATTGAACCAAAGGAAGGGGGAGAGGAAAAAAGACTTTCAATGTAAAGTACTTAACTCCATGGGTCCCTAAAATGGGCCTAAGATTTATCTCAAGAATAAATGGCTATTTATAAGAGAAATAATGGAATCCAAGGCTTAAAGCATTAGGAAGAAATAGGTATGCTGGATAAGTTGGCATTTCTGAGTTAATTTAAAAAAGAAGTCATTTAAAGCCAAACTAAAGGTGTGAGCAAGCAGGAGGATAAATGCGTAGGACAGCACAGTAACATGGAATTAACATCACACCCCTAAACACAGTCCTCAAGCTCTCTGGGACAAAGAAACACTTTAGGGTAGAGGCCAGCTCTTCATCTAACCTATGACAGGTGGAAGCAATTCTGAATAACAGACACAGTGAGGACCTAGAGGGGCCTGGGCTGGTGGATTGAGATGTGTGAACTCTAGGAGACAAGGGAAGACCTGGGTGTGATGGGGCTGGCAGAAGTGAATCTGTGATGGGCAGGAAGAGACAGGTTGCTCAGTACTGATGCAGAAGACAGAGTACAAACAGACCATGGTGTGGAGTCACCAGTCTGCTCAGATACCATTCTCTGAATGCTGAAAGGCCTGTGCTGCTATGACACCAACCCAGGGCCATCTGAGTCCCTGTTCCCTATTCAGCACCTCCATCTGTTGGCCCAGCCTCCATTCTGGCTCAAAGGCCATGCCACAGCCTCATTGGATCTAAAGTCAGGAACCGGGCTTTTTCCCAAACAAGGAACTTCTTGTCTACTCCCTCTCCAGCCTGCCCAACAGAGACTCTGTGGGTGGCCATGAGTGCTGTGTCCAGGTAGGAGGCCCCGTGACACCCAAGCAACACACCTGGCAGTCTGGGCAGCCCAGACTTCACCCTTTTGGATGAGAAGGTCTCCATTTGCTTCCGTAGGTCTACACTTGCCACACAGCGGTAGTGGTGGCCCTCAATCAAACTGAAGATCCAAAGCTACAAAAGCAAAGCACACATAAGGCATGTATTCCTTTCAACAAATGGTACTTATGAAAAAGCAGTAAAAACCCAGAGGAAAACGGGTTTACGGCAGACAAGTCATGCACAATTGTCCCTCGCCTTCCTCCAGAGACGTTCTTAGGTCCCCTCCCCAGGGAGGCCCCACAGCCTACGCATACTTCCTCACAAAGGGAAGTCAGTCCACAATGCTGAGGTCAGGTACAGCTATATCCCTTGTCATATAGGCTCCTTGAATGCCACAAATGAGGTCCTTAAGGCCCCCGCCCTATGTCTCTATGGCACTTGTTACAGCCTCAGAGCCATGAACACTTCTGACCCTGTTGCTGGGTGGTAAGACACAGGATAATAGCATCTGACTTTGTAAAAAGAAACTAAATTACCTTAGCTTCTGAAAGTATATACTTGCCAAATTTATATTCACGACAACTTTATCCATGCTTTGTAAAGTAAATCAAAAATTCTCACACAAAACTTTCTGAAGCAGATTAAATACTTTCAGTTTTCAAAAACATATAAACTGATGCTGGTGGAGAAGTGTTGCCATCTTTTGCTATCTTCCAGAGTCCCACTGCTAGAATATACAGTACCAGCTCCTCTGCAAGCCCAGGGCCCAGTACTAGATTAAAAGCCCTTAGGCCCCCACTTTGTCAGGAGGGTTACAGTCCCAGCACACGAGGGTAAGTGGCTTCTTCAGACCCAAGAGATTTCAAACAGGGAAACCAAGACCTCCCACGCCCATGCGTGATGTGACCTCAAAGTTCTCTCACCTGGCCATCAGCGCAGCCAGTGACAAGCTGCTTGTTTTCCTCATGAATGAGCAGACTCAAGAGTGGATAAGCTGCAGAAATGAGCAGAGGACTGTCAGCTTCCTGAGCACTGCACCCCTGGGCCAGGAACCAGGGGCTTCCTGACAGTAGTTCCTTCAGTCAAGTTTGGACTATTTTGAAATGATTTTCTTACCAGAAGGTAAAAATTGTAAGGGAACACAAACTTTGAAAACTCCATGAATGAGAGGAAAGAAAGGGAAGATGCCTCGAGTAAAAAGCACCGGTCCTGCCAGCAGCTTCATGACCTGGAGAGAGGAAATGCAGCTCGGCCAGCATCACACTTGGGGGTCAGTGATATTACGCACTTAGTGATGAAGACAGAAATTAAATGGACCTCTTATTTCATTCTTTAAAAATGTTGCTTAGAATATCATTTCACTTAAAACTTAGTCTTAACTGATATGAATTTAGGAGAACTAGACAAATAGAGGTTGGGAAACATTGTATTTCCTAACTTAGCTATAAATGACATCAAAGGTCAACTTTATAATTATGTTCTTGATAGTCAAATAATTCCATATGAATTAACTTCAGGAAAATAATTCCAGCATTCTTCTAAGTGCTGAAAAACAAGTTATTAGAACACCATATTCTGCACATGATAAACTGAGCTCAGGAAGATTTTTGAATCTGGGTATGTAAGTGATTCTACCAGGTCACCAAGACTCTGTATATTCTTTAAACAGCATCTTATGCTTCTCGTCACAGAAAGGACGAGTAGCCTTGTGCTACATTTCTATTCCTCTTCCCCACAAGAGGAAAGTGCACACAAGAGGAGCACATCCAACTCAATGAGCCAGCCCCACAGGGTGCAGGAAAACACAGAGCCTGGTCGATGGGCTGTTCCCTGGACATCACATGCACCATGCCTTGTGCTCCCAGGAGACCTGTACCACAGAAATCTCTCCCAGCACCAAACAAGCAGGTCAGAGGTTTGTGAGATCAAGTTGCTTTCTTTAACCACTGAAAGGACATTCTGAGGAAAGCACAAAACTATCTTGGGATTCATGAGGTATTCAAAGGCGTCTAGCCCATCCAAGTGGGCCAAGCATGTGCACACTCCTCCCTGCACACTGGACCGGGAAGGGCTCCATACCCTTCAGGTACCTCCAGTCTGGGCCTCGTCTCCACAGGACAGCAGAGGGCTCGTGGCTCCCTGCATCTGGGTACTTTATCTGAGAGCCAGCATGCTTTGTATATTTTCCTGCAACAGAGAAGCCAGACTCCTGGCTTATGTCAATTTAAGTTAAAAACCTTCAGGACTCTAACTGTAATGTGCATCCATTCAGCTCACAATGTGAATGAAGAGTTATTTTTAAGCGCGGCAGATGTACTCAGACCCCTGGGTATCCGCCCACCATCTGAGGACTGGTAGACACAGGACAATTTGATTACACAGACTATTCAGTGAAAATATAGACTTTTTAATTTACCTGTTAAAATGGATGAGCTGTATATTAACGATCCCATACAATGATCCCAGACCTTTGGACAAACAGACATTTCTTTAGAAGAGGTAAAAAATGTTGCCATCATTGGTAAAGAATAAACTAAATTCTACTGGACTACAAATTAATCTTGTGAACAATTATCAAAAATAATAAAAACTCTCATGTAAATGGAACTGTTGAAACACAATATAAGATGTCAGAATCATGAAAAACACTTCTACAGGGAAGCACCTATGGGTTTGAAACAACTGAAGACACAGGCCTAAGAGAGGGCTGAAAAGACTCCTATGTGTCTTATTGATGCCCCAGTGAGGGGAAGTGAAAAATGAAGTAGCGTCTTTACTGCAGATGGTTCACACACACAGGGCTGAGTCCTAACTCTATTCTCTATTCTTATAGCCACCAAGGAGGTAAGGTCAGGGAATGTGTTAACGTGTTTTCACAACATCTCTCTTCTGACACACATTCATTGCTTTATAATGTCCTCCCTTACTTAGTAAAATCATAGTAACTAACTACCTAGAGGTGAGTTTGCATTCTTCTTTGGTTTTGATCTTTTGCCAATGGACACTGATTCCTCGGCCCTTGGCCACTAAAGCACTGTGGATGCCACTGTGGTCCTCTAGCCCAGATGGCCATGCTGTGGAGAACCCCACCTAACCTCCAAGCCAAGCCACAATATCAAGATTCAATTTCGCAGAGAAACATAGAAAAACAGCCTTGTTGGGTAAGTATAGAAACAAAACTATGAAAGAAAGAATTCCTGCCAAAACAAATTCTACTTTACCTGTCCCCTCTTCCAGATTTGGAACTACTCCTATATAAACATAAAAGTTAGAGTTCTGATGCCTGAGTTCCAAAGAACACATGAGCAGTCACAGCCACATGGTCAGCCACTGTAAAAGACAAAAACTAACCAAAGCTGACCCCACAAAATACAAAGGTAGTACTTCCTGTGCCCTCTCCTGACACTCTCCTCTCCCACTGGACCCCTCCCCCAGGTGGCTCCAATGGGGCAGGAAGGAGGTGAGTGCTCAACCTTCTGTTCTCCAATGTCTCCCTCTGTCTCTGCCTTGGATTCTTCATGCCTGTCTTTACCACTGTCTCGGAGTCTCAGTTTGGTTCTGGCTCTTCTGTCTCCCTCTCTGATACTCTACCTATCAGAATGTATCCACTCTATCTTCAATCTCCCTCCCTTAGCAGCTATTCTCTCTTAGGGAATTACCAGAATGTAATAAGACAGCATGTTTAACAGCTACACCAAGAGGGTTATCCTTTCCTTAAATTCTAAACCTTCCACAGCCCACATAGGGCCTTAGAAACCAGTGTTATATTCTTATGTTCCATAATGTACCTGACAAACTGTTGTGACAGTGCCAGGGCTCCTGAGAGTCACAGTTGCCTCCCACTGTGTGAGGGGGGGAGTGGAGGGGTGGGCAGGTGTGCTCCCGCAGATGCAGGGGACACTGGCTTTGACCTCATGCCACTCAATCTAGATAGGACAGGTACCCCTAATACACATGAGATGGATGAGAGGGACACAGAGAGAGAGAGAGAAAGAAGAAGCAGACAGATGATAGATTGAAAAATAAAAAGATAAACAGATATGTACATACATACATACATACAACTTACAGGTAGACACTCAACTATGAAGACTTTCTTTAATAATCCAACATATGGCCTTGATAAACAGAATTTAGAATATGAAGTGTTTTGTACCAATTACCATCAGATTGTTAAAGATAAGATTACAGGGCTGACAGAGTCGCTCAGTGCTACAGCACCTGCCTAGCAAGCATGAGATCATAAGTTCAAACCCCAGTGCCGCAAAAGAAAAGATAATATTATAACACAAGTATGACTATGGATAGGTAAGAGAAATTGCTATGAGGTATAAATTTCTATTCATCTCAAGCTAGTCAATTGTCTAAGAATAACATTATAATGAACAACCTTTAAGTTGTTTCATTTTAATGGTCTACAGTTATAACTTAGATGATTAAAAAGTACATTTACCAAAAAGTGCTCAGTATTTATTTGAACTCTTTCAAAGCCAATGTCACATAGACTCGCTGAGTGTTCTGTTGAGAACATGTGTACCATTCTTGGATTTGTTCTATTACTTGGCAGTTTCTCATGTCCACTAAATCACTCTCCCCAGTAACCTCCTCACATTTATGTACCTGCCACTTAGGATATCACAAGGTGGACACAGATTGGACACACAGCTGGGGCAAATTTCTGCTACCTCACTTTAGATTTTCATGAACTGTTGGATGTGGAAAACTTAACCCTATGTTAATCATTGTGCCTCTCTGGACACTTTATCTTCCTTCAAATACCAACAACTTCAAGTAGCTCCCCAATTTGTTTTGGTGATCCTTGTCCTGACAGTAAGGTGTCCATCTTCTCCATCTCTGTGGTCCCTTTTGTTAAGTGATGGAGCAGCCAGATGTAGACCTGTTTGCACAGAACTGAAACACTGGCTGATGCAGGAGGCCATCACAGACTTGGTCTGGACACACGCAGGCCTGCCATCAGCTCACATAGCACCCGTCTGTCCTGCCATGATGCACACGAGGATGTTAATGTCCTCAACAGAACCCTCACTTTCACAATTTGCCCCCAAACTGTCTCAAGATGGGAAATGTCTCCTCTTTGTCCCCCAAATGCCTGGCACACGAGGCCCACCATGGCCCTCTAGCAGTCCATGCCTAACAGCTTCCCTTCTCTAATTTTAAAGCGGGCCCAGCAAGAAAAACTGCAGCAGGCCCTCACTGTGCCAGCTGTGCTGACCTGGCAAACAGATGACACAGTGAGATGCCAGGCTCTGGGCAAGTCTCAAGCAGAACAGGGACCAGAGGACACAGAGTCCTCCTTCTAGCTTCCCCATGCCCATCTCCTGCTCTTTGACAGCTGGTCTGACTATGGCTTATACACTAGGCAACCTAGAAGAGGCTGACTTTCACATCCACTGTCCCCAATTGGAACAAGCTTTCTCTCGCTCCCTTGTTATTGCTGAACCTAACTGGGCTTAACTGGGCGGCAACTGGAGATTCAGAAAGGACACAGGATAGACAGACAGACAGAAAGTGGGACCAGGTGTGTTGGGTGCTTGGGTGGAGACACACAACCCTCATTGCTTCTTTATCTCTATTACTCTCTTCATTTACTCTGCTTCTTTTCTCTATCTATATTCTTTAAGGCCTTACTCCTTTACAGTTCTTTAAAACCTTGCTTCTAAAGTCTTCTTTTCGGTTCTTTAAAGTCTCTTTCCTTAGACTCGCACTGTCCCATGTTTTCTCTTAGCTTTTCTTTAGCATAATCTCTCTTAAAGTCCTTGCCCCCAGACTTGCACTGTCATGCTCTCTCTTTAGCTTTCTTAAAGCCTTGGTGCTCAGACTTGCACTGTCCTGTGTTCTCTGTGGTTTTTCTTTAGCTTAGCTTTTCTAAAGCCTATGTATAAAGTTCTTGGTGCAGACTTTCCTGTTCAGCAATTCCCCTTTAACAATTTCCCTTTAGCAATCCTTTTCCCTTCCAAAGCCTCCCACATCAAAAAGCCAAAAGCAAAAGCAAAAGCCTGGCATCCTCCTTCAGGAGGTCCTTTATACCCAGTGGTAAACAGGGTGGAGCAGCGGTTCTCAGGAAGGAGCATGGCATTGTAACAGGAGAAACCTGAGCTCCTGCTTCTCTGAACATAAACAACTTAGGAGAAGCAGCTGTTCTGCATCTTCCTCTTCTGTGGCCGGGGCTGTGCCAATCTCAGCCTACAGACAAACACCTTAGGAAAAGCAGCTGAGCTGTATCTTGCCTTGCTTGTGTCCAGCTCTCATAGGCTTCCTCATAATCCACTCTCCACATCCAACTAGGAAATAAGTGAGAAGTGTGATTCTTGGTGGAAAGTGGATTTTGACATGGAGATGAATAAAGCACTGTGTGGTAAAGAATCTGAGGAGCATCTAAAGTACACAGCTCCAGAAACAAGCACCTCATTAAACATGTCTGCTAAAGACACCCCTGACCAAATTTCATGTCAAGTTCTTAAAATTTATATCAACAGCTTTATCTGAGTCCACAGGCTTTCCAATCGCTAGATAATGGTGTGTTTTCATTCCCTTTCCCCCAGAATCTTATAAAAATATTCCAAACTAAAAGTATCATTTTAAAAGGAATCAAGAAACAGAAAGCAGGCTGGACTTCAGCCCTGCATTCCACCACCTATGCACTCCACAGCTCCCATACATGGCCATCTTACCTCCACATCCAGCATGAAGACTTTGTGTCCAGCACATACTGCAACAGCACGATCGTCCAGGCCAAACCTCACACACAGCACCAATCCCAGAAGGGTGCCCACAATAGTCCCCCGAGGAGCCAGCCCTAGAGCAAGTTTCAGGTTAGTGTCAGTTCATCAGCTAGGCTCCCTGTGACATTAACACCAGGAGATAAGAGTGATATACCCAAAAGACTGTGACACAGGTTACTCCAGAGGCACCTGCACACCCATGTTTACTGCAGCACTATTCACAATAGCCAAGCTATGGAAACAAGCCAGATGCCCACCACTGACGAATGGATCAAGAAAATGTGGTATCTATACAAAAAGGAATCAAGAAACAGAAAGCAGGCGCTGGACTTCAGCCCTGCATCCACCACCTAGCACTCCACAGCTCCCATACATGGCCATCTTACCTCCACATCCAGCATTGAAGACTTTGTGTCCAGCACATTACTGCAACAGCACGATCGTCAGCCCAACCTCACACCACAGCACCAATCCCCAGGAAGGTGCCCACAATAGTCCCCCGAGGAGCCAGCCCTAGAGCAAAGTTTAGGTAGTTCAGTCATCAGCTAGGCCCCTGTGACATAAACAACCAGGAAGAATAAAGAGTGATATACCCAAAAGACTGTGACACAGGTTACCCAGAGGCAACCTGCACACCCCATGTTTACTGCAGCACTATTCACAATAGCCAAGCTATGGAAACAGCCAAGATGCCACCACTGACGAATGGATCAAGAAATGTGGTATCTATACACAATGGAATTTTATGCAGCCATGAAGAAGACGAATGTTATTCATTCGCTGGAAATGGATGGAATTGGAGAACATCATTCTGATTGAGGTTACCTGGCCCAAAAGATCAAAAATCGTATGTTCTCCTCATATGTTGGACATTAGATCAAGGGTAAACACAACAAGGGGATTGGACTTTGGAGCACATGATAAAGCGAGAGAACACAAGGGAGGGGTGAGGATAGGTAAGACACCTAAAAAACTAAAGCTAGCATTGTTGCCCTTAACGCAGAGAAACTAAAGCAGATACCTTAAAGCAACTGAGGCCAATAGGAGAAGGGGACCAGGAACTAGAGAAAAGGTTAGATCAAGAAGAATTAACCTAGAAGGTAACACACACGCACAGGAAATTAATGTGAGTCAACTCCTTGTATAGCTATCCTTATCTCAACCAGCAAAAACCCTTGGTCCTTCCTATTATTGCTTATACTCTCTCTACAACAAAATTAGAGATAAGGGCAAAATAGTTTCTGCCGTGTATCGAGCGGGTGGGGGTAGAGGGAGGGGGTGGGGTGGGTGATAAGGGAGGGGGTGGGGGAGGGGGGAGAAATGACCCAAGCATTGTGTGCACATATGAATAATAAAAGAAGAGTGATAGCACTGTCCCCTGCTCTAAAGCTGCTCTAGGGAGCAGCACTGTGCTAGACTTCACACTATTCTTTGACAATATCTGACCACAGCACACAGACTTTCTGAAGCACTGGGAACACAAGACCTGCCTGGAGCATCAAGCAGGACAGCTCTCTTCAGAGGGCCATGGGTGCCTGGGAGAGTTGCGCACACTAAGCATTGTATCCCACTGCTTCTCCTCCCAGTGTCTATTCCTCCAGGCTGGGCTGTGACACCTGCTCTGGCCGTGTTGAATGGACAGAGGGGCAGTGTACCATCAGAGCCCCAGCGTCTGTGGCACCACCACAAGGGCATCCCCAAGGCAGGCCACAGGTGAAAATGACAAGCGGGCAGAGCAGAGCTGGCCCAGATGTCCTGCAATACCAGCCACCCTAAAATGTGCCTACAGACAGCATAGCTCCCAGCATTTGTCCTGGGCCTGGGAGGCCGAATCAGCCACCAATAAAGAAGACAGATAAACAAGTTGTGCACACTGAGAGGAGTGCTCATTGTAAGGAGACCAAGCAGGAAAGGGGTCTGGGCTCCAGGTTGTGGCCAGGAAGGACCCATGGCAAAGATGACATTGGGGCTAAGACCTAAGGACTGTGGCACAGAGGGCAGTGACTAAGAGGAGCCCCAGGTGCCTGGGAGGGAGGGCTGCTCAAGCCCTGCTCCACCAGGCTGAGAGTAGACCATGGGTGTTGGTTCATGCTCCACATGAGGGAGGCACTTAGGGACTTTGAGTAGACATATGACATAGCAGAATGATTTTTAGAGGACTTCTGGCTTCTGGGTTCAGGACAAATCTGCCACATGGGGAGAGCAGAGCTGAGAAGACAGAAGTCAGTATAGGAATCCAGATGAGAGATTGTGGCTTGAGCCTGGATGCAGCATGGAAGTGAGATGGTGTGCAGGTTAAGTACATGGGACTTGCTAATAGATCAACTATGGGGAGTGAGGTGCAGACAACCCCAAGGCTCTGGCCTGAGCAGCTGGAGGGACTGAACCCTGGTGAGCACAGGTGGGAAGGAGGCAGGAGGAGAGTTTATAGGGGCAGGTGAACCAGCACCAAGAACTCATGATGCTCTTATACATCAGCAGAAAGACTGAGAAGGGAGTTATCTAGAGGCTGAATCAGTGAGAGAGAAGGAAGCAAGCAATAGCACCCAAATGCTGATAAAAGTCAAGGGCCTCAGTAAACCACATGGTGGGAGGTTTGTGGTAGAAAAGAGGAAAAGCCCACACCCCAACAGGGAGGAGTTGGAGAATGAGGAACCAGCAAGGAGACTGGGAGCAAGTGGCCAACAGGCTCAAAGGGTTGAGGACGGATCAGACATCACGACAGAGGTCCATTCCCTCAATCCAAGCACAAACCAAACAACATCAGATCCACAAGTGGTGTGAGCCCAGTTCTCCACCCCAATTCAACAGTGATCCAAACACAGCTCTGCTCCAGCTTCTATCCAGGCCACGAGGCCACATTGAGGGCTTGTAACTTCCGAGTGCCACTGTCCTCACAGAGCCAGGGTGCAGGTGAGAATGAGGCATTCTCACGCCTGGGTAGCTCCAGCTACCACTTCAAATATGAACCATCAGCCATGTACGTGCCGAGCCCCATGAGCAAGGGTGCCATGCTCCAGAGCTGGGCTCTACCCACTGAGGCTCCACTCAACAGCCAAAAACACAGACAGCCGCCTAACGACTAGGACCTCTAGGAGAGCATGGGTCCGCTCTGTACACACCTGTGTGTGTGCACCTGTTTGTGCCTATGCACACACATGCATGTCCGTTCTGGTCATGGCAATACTGAAATGTGTGGTAATACATGGTGAGATGAAGGTTGGGTCACTCTACGTTGTTTTGAGTGACCTTACAAGCTCCAATTCCACCACGCAGTCCACACCCAACTTGTCAATCTCAAGTCGTGTGCCATGCCCTACCCTCTCACCTGGCCAAGCTCTCCTCACGTGCCATGTTCTCTCCACAGGTGCACATATCAGCTCTCCAGCAGCCAGGCCCTGCACACCAAGAGCCTCTGTGCACACGTTGTCCCTCTGCTTCTAACACCAGTTCCCAGCCAACCCTCCCATCTCAGCTCCCACTCACTTCCTCACAGGTCACTCGACAAAAGAGACTTTCTGCCACCTTCTTGATGCCGCTACGTTTGCACTCTCACAGACTGTCACTGTTCACCTGCCTGTGTGCACACTGTGTCTGTCTCACACTCACTCTGAGTGGTGTTCTCAGCCCTGCTCCTTCACCACTGTGTCTCCAGCCCAAAATACAGCAGGGGCTCCCTTGTGTGCGAGGGAAGAACTCACCATCCTGCATATGTCTTCAGTTCTCCCTAAGAGTTAGTGTTACAAATAAGCAGTAAACAGAGTAGAACAAACAAGCCTACACATGGGCAGGTGCCCAGCAAAGGCCAGAGGCTCTGTGTCACAGTTAGGGAGTGAAAATGATCCAAATTCACAGTTGTTACAAACTAGGCTTAAGGGTGAGTCGATTGCTTTGAATGCTTTTTTTTTTTTTAATTCATATGTGCATACAAGGCTTGGGTCATTTCTCCCCCCTGCCCCACCCCCACCCTTACCACCCACTCCGCCCCCTCCCTCTCCCCGCCATCCCCTCAATACCCAGCAGAAACTATTTTGCCCTTATCTCTAATTTTGTTGTAGAGAGAGTATAAGCAATAATAGGAAGGAACAAGGGTTTTGCTGGTTGAGATAAGGATAGCTATACAGGGCATTGACTCACATTGATTTCCTGTGCGTGGGTGTTACCTTCTAGGTTAATTCTTTTTGATCTCACCTTTTCTCTAGTTCCTGGTCCCCTTTTCCTATTGACCTCAGTTGCTTTTAAGGTATCTGCTTTAGTTTCTCTGCGTTAAGGGCAACAAATGCTAGCTAATTTTTTAGGTGTCTTACCTATCCTCACCCCTCCCTTGTGTGCTCTCACTTTTATCATGTGCTCAAAGTCCAATCCCCTTGTTGTGTTTGCCCTTGATCTAATGTCCACATATGAGGGAGAACATATGACTTTTGGTCTTTTGGGCCAGGCTAACCTCACTCAGAATGATGTTCTCCAATTCCATCCATTTACCAGCGAATGATAACATTTCGTTCTTCTTCATGGCTGCATAAAATTCCATTGTGTATAGATACCACATTTTCTTAATCCATTCGTCAGTGCTGGGACATCTTGGCTGTTTCCATAACTTGGCTATTGTGAATAGTGCCGCAATAAACATGGGTGTGCAGGTGCCTCTGGAGTAACCTGTGTCACAGTCTTTTGGGCATATCCCCAAGAGTGGTGTTGCTGGATCAAATGGTAGATCGATGTCTAGCTTTTTAAGTAGCCTCCAATTTTTTTTCCAGAGTGGTTGTACTAGTCTACATTCCCACCAACAGTGTAAGAGGGTTCCTTTTTCCCCACATCCTCGCCAACACCTGTTGTTCATGAAATGTTGTTTTGCATTTTCGTTTACCTTGAAGCATCTTCTCTCTGCATTTGTCCAGATTCCACGTTATAACACAGTCCTGTGATGCAGAGCAGATTAGAAGTGGATTCACCTTATTTCCAAAAGCCACAGCAGTAATTGGCCAATGATGTCCTTGTAAGACTAGAGGCTGAAAAAAAAATTGAGATTAAAAAAAAAGTCACAGGTTACACATAATCTCCAAAAGGCAAAGCAAAAAACCATAACCTCAAACCTATAAAAATCAAATAGACTGAGAATTTCAATCAAATAAAAATCAAATGGACAAATGAGAATTTCAAACATACTTATTGCACGTGCTCATTTTGGGTCCACTCTTTACACTTCTGGCTTCTGCAATTAAACTATGCTGTCAAGATAACCAGATCACTGTTCCTCAATATCACACCATGACACTGGTTATTGTCTTCCCCTCTTCACTGCTTATTAATGAAACAGGCATATACTGAGTCCTCACTTCATGCAGAAGAGGTGCCAGCCTGGCTGACAGCTGAGAAGGAAGGCACTCCAGAGGAGAGGAGGAAATACGAAGGGAAGGTGGGCTGAGACCAGAATAGGTTTTGTGTCCTTTGATCCATGGTAACTTGACGTGTGTGGAACTTGACATTAAGCAGACAATAGGCAGTTCTATATGAGGGATATCACTCAAAAGAGAGACAAGGAGAGCTTCATCTCTGGTAATGGCAGGCTAGTTTACCCTCACTGACCCTCCCAATTAGAAAGAAAATAAAATTGAAAAAAGGTGTAAGAATGAATGAATAAACAAATCTTTTTTGAAGACATCAGAAAGATGAAGAATTATGATACCAAGATCACAGAGAAGAAAACTGAAGGGCTCAACCCCGGCTCTGGGGGCATTTATCCCATGTGACATCTTCCATAAAGGCAACTTTCTGACAGCCCAGAAAATGCCGCGAAGAAGCCAAGACATTTATGGGGCAAGGAGCACAGAAACACATCATCTTCAAGAGCACAAGCAGAAATATCTATGAAGAGAAGGACAGAACATTCTGTCACCTGACATGGTCCTTCTGAAATAGAGTTGAATGCCTTAATGTAAGGAACATTTAATGTGCCTGCAAAACCATATGTATAGATTTTAATAAGATTCTGCTAGGAATACCAGCTACTAAAATGAGGACAGGGCATGCTGTCTGCCCCCACGTTTAGAACAAGAACCTGAAAAGGACCAAATCCAAGAAGCAGAGGGGAACTAGAAAATAACCCTCATGAGAACTGGACCTCACTGTGGGTTATCTTGATCCCTGACCATATATTAGTGTGACCCAGGATTGCTGCCATGCTCTTAGCATGGCCAGCTATCTGAAGCAAATCTAAATTCTATCTGTATTAGCTCATACATTATATCCAGCAAAAACAGCCAGGTATTCAAGGAGACAAGGCCATTTGATCAAAAACAAAGAATAAAAAACAATATAAAATGCCACAGTGGTCCAGTCTGGGTCAGCCCACGACTGAAGTTATTTTTTAAAAACCTAATTTCTAGAGAGACGCAAAGTAAAATGGATGAGAAACACACTTGGTGGATCAACAGCATATTAGATATTGCAGAAGAAAAGATGAGTGAATTCAAAGACACGGTGATAGAAATTATGCTAAGAGAAATGCGTAGACCGAAAAAAACACATGAACAATGAAAAAAAGTATCAGTGACCTGGGGAACCATCAAGTTCCCTTAATGTACATGAAAGTGGAGTCCACAGTGGCTGAGGGAGGTGGCTGAATTTTTTCCAATTTTTAAAGGCTATAAACTCATAGATACTCATGAATAAGAAATAAGAAGAAAACTACACAAAGACATATCACCTCATTGCTGAAAACCAGTGATAAACAGAAAATCTTAAAAGCAGCCAGAGAAGATAACACATTGAACTCTCAAAGACAATAACAAAGTTCTCATTGTAAAGACAGTGGAACAACACATTTTATTAAACTACTAAAGGAAAAACTGGCAATCAGGGACTCTCCACCCAGTAATATTTTTCAAAAATAAAGCAAAATAAAAACATGTTCAGACATACAGAAGCTTACATAACTCATCACAATTATCTGTGCACCATATACACTAAATAATATACTTCAGGCAGATGGGGAAATGCATCTACACAAAAAAGGGGGAGCATCAAAAGCATAACCACCTGAGTAAATAAGCATGTGAGTTTATTTACTGTTTTTCTTTGCTGTGGCACTGGGGATTGAACACAGGGTCTCATGCTTGCTAAGCCAGCACTCTGCCACTTGAGCCATGTCCCTAGTCCTTTTTGCTTTTTTAGTTTATTTTTTATATAAGGTCTCATGCTAACTTTACCCAGGCTTGCCTACAGCCTCTATCCTCCCTAACAACTGGAATTACAGTGTTTACAACCACACCCAGCCCGATTAAATGTCTTGCACAGTGAGGCTTATCACAGATGCCAAGTCAAATGCAGGGCAGCAGTGACATAAAGGCTGTGAGGGAAGACAAAAGACGTAGCACTAATGAGAACAGAAAGTAGCCATGGTAGATCTCAAAGCAAAGAAGTTGCTTCTGAATAAACAGAGCCAATTCATCAAGAGAACATAAAATACTAAACATCTATGTGCTTATGACAGAGCTCCAAAGTACATGGAACAAAATCTGACAAAAAAAAGAGAAGCGGACAAGTTCACAATTTAAATATACCTCTTTTGATAATTAATAGAATAAGTGGACATAGAATCAACAAGATACAGAAGGCTTGAGGAACACTGTTGGCCAAGTTGACCGGCTGACATTTATAAAGCAAGACACAAACACAAGAATTCATTCATAGAGCTTTATTTGTAATAGCCCACATCTAAAAAGAACCTAAATACCCACCATCAGGAGAAGGAATAACAAAGTATAGCATCCGTGCAATGGGGTACTATTGGTACGAACAAGGAACTACTGATGTGTGCAACAATGTAGAGGAGTCTTGCAACAGTCACTCTCAGGGAAAGAAGCCAGAGGGACAATAAATGCAGTGTGATTCCATTTGCAACTGCAAACTCAAGTGACAGCAGGCTTTTATCTGGAACATAGGAAAAACTTCAAACTGACGGGAAAAATACAGGTAATCCAGCAGAAAATTTAGCAAGAGACCCCAGAACCACAAAAGGGGGAAGGGGACAAGAGGTTTGAGAACACATCCACCATAAAGGTTAGTATCTACGTGGCCAGCACTGTGCAGAACAGAGCTGACTCACCTGGGGACCACCACACCACTAGGCCTGATGGTGAAGGACTGGGTGAGGCTATGATCAGATGCAGCGCTCACACACTGTGCAGAGGCGGGGACTGTCCCAGCCACTTTGGAACACTGATGGGCATTTTCCACTGAGGGCATGAATCCCCAGTAGCTCAGCAATTGCACACATGTGCACCAGAAGATATGCAAAAGGGTATTTGTTTAGCCAAACAGTAGAAATAAAGCAAATATCTGCCACCATAATGCAGCAGTGAAAATGAACAACTGTGGCCTCTCCTGAGCGCTGTGGTGAGTGAAGGAAACTGGCATAGAGGAACACACAGCCCACAGTGCCATCCATGTAAAGGTCACACATAAGCAAAGTGAGCCTCTGGTGTCAGAGATGAGAATGGCATTGCCTTTGGATGGGAGGAAAGGAGAGGAGGCACAGCCAGGGCCACACCTGCCCAGGTGTATGCACTTCTCCTAAGTACTGTACACCTCACTGAAAGTAAGAAAGACCAAGCTGGAGGTGTGGGTAGGAGGCTTGACTGTGTTAAGTGAATCTTTTCCTCTTCTAACAAAGTAATCCCAGGCAATTAGTAATATAAAAACAAGAAGTTAATGTAACTGTTTTTGTTTTACCAGCATTTTTCTGCCATGGTTAGAAGCTGAATCTACAGGGGTAACATGGTCCAGACAACATCAGAGTCATGGAGAGACAAGGCATTCATGACCCTGGCCTTGACAAGAACCCACCAGGTGTGGAGCCCCAGTGTTCCACACGCAGAGTTGATTTCCATCTAAAGGGAAGGCACAGTATGGCATGCTGCAAGCCAGCTGAACATGGGACACGGACTCCTGGGATTCGGCCAGGTATCTTTCCATGACTACGACACTCTCGCAGCCGACAGTGGAAGGAATCTGTTGGGTTTTGTCCATCTTCAGCCTGGAAACACAAAGTACACACACAGGAATGATGTTTGATAGAAAGGCTTATTTATTCATATTGTGAACATGACTACACACACCACATCACACCTACTTACTTCCCCACCCCTAAGGAAAAGGAAAAGACTCCACTGAACCCGCCAGAGACCCCAACATTCAGGGTTTGCCCCGCCCCCATGCCACATGCCTCATGAGACCTGCTGAGTTGGCTTCTGGGACTGTGAAGTGAGACCAGCTGCATCACAGAGGCAGGGATTGAAGAGGGTTCCCTAAGCACATGGAGTGGAGTGGTCAAAACACTGGTTACTGAAATTGCTGATGTTACCAAAGTTATCTTCCAAGTGGCCATGGCAAATTAGCTGAGAAACTGTAATAGAAATCCCAGTCCTGAGAGCTTACCTGGGACATGCTCAAGTGCTTCACAGCACTTGGTTGAAGTTAGGTTTCACAGGCTACGTAATCAGTGATTTATCATCTACATCTCACAGAGCAGACATTAATAAAACACTGCAAAATAAACAGTATTTCAGAATTTTTTCCCAGTTCACATTTAAGAGTTCTGTGGATGTGATCACCTCAGACATGTGGTGACCAGCCTTTGATTCTTCTCGGCCCCACAGCCCACTGCCAAAAAAGATGCACTTGAAGAACAGCTAATGCACTTGCTTACAGTGGGGGATGAGGACCCAGCCTTCCTATAGCCATATGGTACAAAGACCCTGGTTCCCTGGTCACCATGCTGTTCGTGTGAGTGCAAAGACCCTAGCCCACTGGTCACATTCTGACCATATGAGTACAAAGGCTCTACACTTGTTTGCCATGCTGTCCATGTGGGTACAAAAGATGTAGCCACCTAGTCATCATGGCAGCCATGTAGGCATAAAGACCCCACCTGCCTGGTCACCATAATAATCATGTGAGTACAAAGGCTCTACCCCTTGGTCACGATGCTGGCCATGTGGATTCCAAGTCAACCATTAACTGAACTGGGAGAGACCTGGATCAGCTTCAGAAGGAGAGTAGTGGTTAAAACCAATGATCAGGAGTGGACATCTGACCAGCAAAGATGGGGTGGGGTATAGAAGAGGGGATGAAATACTGAGAGGGGGAGAACTTGCCTAGGCAGCAGGTTCTGACACCTGACCACAGAGAGGGGTTATTCTTAAGCTCAGTTGACCTTGGAGAGTTTCCAGAGGCTATTGAACAAAGTCAGAAAAACACAGCTGCCATTTGGGAAAATCACTTGTACTCCAGCAGCTCCACATTCTTAGTGGAGAAGCATTCTTCTGGGTGTGTCTGTGAGGGGTTTCCAGAGAGGATGAACTAAAGGGAAGATCCACCCTGAATGTGGACAGCACCATCTCATAGGCTGGGGGTCCAGATACAATAAGAGAGCCCTCAAGTGCAGGCATCCCCTCTGCTTCCAGGTTGCCACGAGGTGAGATGCTCTGCTCCACTATGACCTTCCTGCCATGATGGACAGAACCTCTGACACTGTGAGCCAGAATGAACCTTCCCTGCCTTCAGTGGTTTTTGCTCAGGTATTTGGTCCCAGCAGTGGAAAACTGACTAACACATTGCCTCTGCCACAGCCCACCCATCCTCCACCACAGACTCTCTCCTGAGGCATGCACCTAGCAGTGTCTCCTCTCCTCCCCATCCCCACACCTCAGCCACTTGTCTACCTCTTCACTGTCCCAAAGTTCACTGCTCAGCCCCTTGGGAGTCCTCATTCCAGGGCAGCACACAATGACCCAGCACCTTGCTGTACCGTGGCTGGAAGCTCTGATCATCAACCTGTGTGCAGCCGGAGCTCACAGTTACCAAGGTTATGACAGCTTCAGATTATGTATGGAAGAGTGATTCAGAAGACGTCAATAAGCACTTCCAATAGGAGCTCTGATTGCAAAACTGTTGTCAGTAAGGCCCAGTTACCAGAAACTGGGAAATGAAACTAAGAAAGCTCTAAGAACACAATTCGAGGTGTCATCTGCAAGATCTCTCACATAATGAATGCTCTGTTGCCATAAATAAAAGGCAATCTTTAACAACTTGAAAATTGTCAACATTTGGAGAAAAACTAAAGTCATGTTAAATATTTTAGAGTACATTTGCATCCAACTCACAATCTTTTTTTCATTTATTTTTTATATTTTTATTATTCATATGTGCACACAATGCTTGGGCCATATCTCCCCCCGCCCCCACCCCCTCCCTTATCACCCACCCCGCCCCTTCTCTCTTCCCCCCATCCCCTCGATACCCAGCAGAAACTATTTTGCCCTTATCTCTAATTTGGTTGAAGAGAGAGTATAAGCAATAATAGGAAGGGACAAGGGTTTTTGCTGGTTGAGATAAGGATAGCTATATAGGGAGTTGACTCACATTAATTTCCTGTGCATGTGTGATACCTTCTAGGTTAATTCTTCTTGATTTAACCTTTTCTCTAGTTCCTGGTCCCCTTTTCCTATTGGCCTCAGTTGCTTTTAAGGTATCTGCTTTAGTTTCTCTGCATTGAGGGCAACAAATGCTAACTTTTTTTAGGTGTCTTACCTATCCTCACCCCTCCCTTCTGTGCTCTCGCTTTTATCTTGTGATCAAAGTCCAATCCCCTTGTTGTGTTTCCCTTGATCTAATGTCCACATATGAGGGAGAACATACGATTTTTGGTCTTTTGGGCCCGGCAAACCTCACTCAGAATGATGTTCTCCAATTCCATCCATTTACCAGCGAATGATAACATTTCGTTCTTCTTCATGGCTGCATAAAATTCCGTTGTGTATAGATACCACATTTTCTTGATCCATTTGTCAGTAGTGGGGCATCTTGGCTGTTTCCATAACTTGGCTATTGTGAATAGTGCTGCAATAAACATGGGTGTGCAGGTGCCTCTGGAGTAGCCTGTGTCACAGTCTTTTGGGTATATCCCCAAGAGTGGTATGGCTGGATCAAATGGTAGATCAATGTTTAGCTTTTTAAGTAGCGTCCAAATATTTTTCCAGAGTGGTTGTACTAGTCTACATTCCCACCAACAGTGTAAGAGGGTTCCTTTTTCCCCGCATCCTCGCCAACACCTGTTGTTGGTGGTGTTGCTAATGATGGCTATTCTAAAAGGGGTGAGGTGGAGTCTTAGTGTGGTTTTAATTTGCATTTCCTTTATTGCTAGAGATGGTGAGCATTTTTTCATGTGTTTTTTGGCCAATTAAATTTCTTCTTTTGAGAAAGTTCTGTTTAGTTCACTTGCCCATTTCTTTATTGGCTCATTAGTTTGGGGGGAATTTAGTTTTTTAAGTTCCCTATATATTTTGGCTATCAGTCCTTTGTCTGATGTGTAGCTGGCAAATATTTTCTCCCACTCTGTGGGTGTTCTCTTCAGTTTAGAGACCATTTCTTTTGTTGAGCAGAAGCTTTTTAGTTTTATGAAGTCCCATTTATCTATGCTATCTCTTAGTTGCTGTGCTGCTGGGGTTCCATTGAGAAAGTTCTTACCTATACTTACTAATTCCAGAGTATTTCCTACTCTTTCCTGTATTAACTTTAGAGTTTGCCAACTCACAGTCTTTCTGGCCATTTTACAATTGCCAAGATAAGGTGAGTGTCATATAATAAATCAAAAATGATCTCCAACAGCAAGGTAACGGATGAAGAGAGCTGTACTCACAGCCAGGGCACTGAAGTGATGGTGGTGAGGGAACTGAACGCACACAGAACCACAGAACCACAAACAGCCTCACCAGCATCTCCTGGCTGAGGAAAGTGAAAGGTACAAGCTACCATGTTCACAAGCAGGCAGAACTCGCCCGGGCATCAGAGCCAGGAGCTGACACCTGATCCAGGCACTCGTGGAGTGTGCTCCTGAACCTGAGGGCTGACCCAGCTGTTCTAGCTTCTAAATTCCACCCCCATGAGTCAAGTCCAGGTCCCAGTGGGTGGAAACAACTTGCTACATGTCTATGGCCTTGCAAGTCATGTGGCCCCCACTGCAGCTGGGGCACAGTCTCACCATCACAGGCCCCATGCAGCACTGATGGCTGTGCACAAGAGACCAGTGCTCTCCCTGAGTCTCCATCCCTCCTCAGCCACCTCTTGTTACTCTATTGCTGGTCTTGGGTTCCCTTGGGGCTCCATTCTGGGTTCAAAATAAAGGTGTGCATGGAGTCCATCCCCAGAGGACCTGCCCTGCTCACATACTGCCAACAGTTGCTTCTCCCTATCAGGTAAGAGACTGACATCCTGTCCCTCTACCTATCCCACCCACTCCATGTACCTGTGTCCAGCCAGGTTTACCCTCCTAACTCCCTTGCCATTTCTCCCAGTTTGTTGTGTGAGGTTTACTCCACCTTCCACAACTCGCAGGATTCCTTGTTCCCACAGACACACAGCATATGTGAACCACTTTGATGCTTGGCCCGGGGAGTCCTCGCTCCCTCTTCAGCACTCAGAGAGCCAGCCACAACCCCAATGGCCCTGTTATCTCAGTCAGCCTGATTCAGCCCCATATCATTCCCCACTGTTCCTTCCTAGCTTTTAGCACAACTAGTAACCATGTGTTACAGTGTACATGCATGTGGGCTACACATGCACACATAATATGTGTGCACATACAATACTGCACAGGATGAATAACCGACTTGCATCTGCCACCTGCTCACAACAGGGATCTGACTTCATGGAGAATAACCCTCCGTCGAGCGGGACACAGGACATCCAGTGAGACCAAACAATAACACCAAATCTGCTCTGACTCTTGAGTCATAAGACTCCAATTTGGAAAATAATCACAAACTCAGAAAAAATTCAAAGCAAGTAATATCAAGGTCATGCTTGTGTGGCTCAAGTTCTTAACACAGCATGCCAGACAGCTCTGAAGCATGCTTCTTGAATCACCTTCCAGCAACACTTCCCAGGAATAAGCTACTACCAGATATGCACCTCACCATAGCTCCCAGAGAGGCCATGTATGGAAGGCTCTTATAACTATCTACAGTGACAGCAGTCTCTGAGGCCCCTGGAAGCATGTGGGTTTGCCACCAGCTCACACTTGGACAGTGAGAGGTCACTCTGGAGAAAGTTAAAAAGGATGCTGAGACCAAAATGCACCCTTGTTTGACCAAAGTAAGATTATACTGGGAGTCATTTCTTCTGAACAATCCAAGGCTGTTGAGATCAGTGATTCAAAACTCCTCACCTTCATCTGTGCTGTGGAAGGAGGAAGGAGAAAGACGAAGTACTATGGCCTCCAGGAGAACCTCAGGTCAAGATGCAAAGATCCAACTTAGGTCCCTGTACTCTAACTGTTCTAAAATTAGAAGGAAGCTTCTCTCTGCCCCTCCTCTCCACGATTTCAAGAGACCCTGTCACTTTATGCTCCAACTCCTGCATCGGGTCAACCATGGCGAGAGGAATGAAAACCTGCCAG